AAGGCCTCTAACCCTAACCCTAACCCTAACCCTAACCCTAACCCCTAACCCTAACCCTAACCCTAACCCTAACCTAACCCTAACCCTAACCCTAACCTAACCCTAACCAACCTCCAAACCCTAACCAACCTAACCCTAACCCTAACCCTAACCCTAACCCTAACCCTAACCCTAACCCTAACCCTAACCCTAACCCTAAACCTTAACCCTAACCCTAACCTAACCCTAACCCTAACCCTAACCCTAACCTAACCCTAACCCTAAACCTAACCTAACCCATAACCCTAACCTAACCCCTTAACCTTAACCCTAACCCTAACCCTAACCCTAACCCTAACCCTAACCCTAACCCTAACCCTAACCCTAACCCTAACCCTAACCCTAACCCTAACCCTAACCCTAACCCTAACCCTAACCCTAACCCTAACCCTAACCCTAACCTAAACCCTAACCCTAACCTAACCCTAACCCTAAACCCTAACCCTAACCTAACCCTAACCCTAACCCTAACCCTAAACCCTAACCCTAAAACCCTAACCTAACCCTAACCCTAAACCCTAACCCTAAACCCTAACCTAACCCTAAACCCTAAACCTAACCCTTAACCCTAACCCTAACCCTAACCTAACCCTAACCCTAACCTAACCCTAACCCAAAACCCTAACCCTAACCTAACCCTAACCCTAACCTAACCCTAACCCTAACCCTAACCCTAACCTAACCCTAACCCTTAACCCTAACCCTAACCCTAACCCTAACCCTAACCCTAACCCTTAACCCTTAACCTAACCTAACCCTTAACCTAACCCTAACCTAACCCTTAACCCTAACCTAACCCTAAACCTTAACCCTAACTTAACCCTAACCCTAAACCCCTAACCCTAACCCTAACCCTAACCCTAACCCTAACCTAACCCTAACCCTAACCTAAACCCTAACCCTAACCCTAACCCTAACCTTAACCCTAACCTAACCCTAACCTAACCCTAACCCTAACCTTAACCCCTAACCTAACCCTAACCTAACCCCTTAACCTAACCCTAACCCTAACCCTTATACTCCTAGCGAGTATCACACAATAGATGAAAAATTGGAAGCATGTCGGGGTCGTGTTTTGTTTTGTCAGTATATTCCCAACGAACCGTCAAAATATGATCTAAAAGTTTTTGCTCTCGTTAAAGCAAAATTTTATTATTGCGTAAACATGGAGCTTTACGTGTGGATGCGACCGGATGGACCATATATAGAAAGCACTTCTCCTAATGATGTTAAAATGACTTCTTTATTCTGTCAAGAACCCGAAAGGGATATCACGTTTGACAACCGGTTTACTAGTTATCCACTGTTGATAGTATTATTGAATAATTACCATCTCACTTCTGTAGGCACGGTATAAAATAATAAAAAACATACCCCTTAAAATTTATTGTTAGTAGACGGTAGAGCAAGTGTATAATAGTTTCTTTTGCATTTAAACCTAGAATTGCGTTTATTTCATACAATTTAAAAAAAAAAATTGTAATTTTGTTTTTTTCATCACACCACACCGGCAAGTATTCCCCGTAAATTTTAGATAAGAAACTTTCAGAAATAAAAGATTTCTATAACATGATAAAGTAGATATACTTGATAATAATGTCGCAATAAATACCCGACGGTGGAAAATGACACTTTTTTACGCTCTAAACATAGCAGTTGTCAATGCACAGATAATATACTAAACAAGTACTAAAGATAATGTATGAAAAGGCATTCTTTTTTGAAACAGTTAGGTATATCGTTATTAGAAGGAACCCTCGAATCCGTCGCGATTCACGCCAGCGTGCACAAGAAAACCTGAAAAATCTCAGGCTAAGGGACAGAAAACAATTTCCATGTGTTTAAATGACCTTGTGCAAAAGAGAGAAAAACCTTTTATAATTGTAGATGCCATATGCTACTATGTCTAGACCCTGTAAATTTGTACTGTGAAAATTGTGCTGACTTTGAATAATAAGAGGTACTTTTAATCATATTTTAATGCTGTTTTTATAATTTTTTAAGTTAACCTTTCTGTATTATAACATATAGTTTGATTTCATACCGCACTACAAAGAATCTGTATGATTCTTATAAATAAATAGATGCTCTTCCCACTGACGAAATCTGTTATTTTAAAAAATGTTTTTGAAAATTTATTTAAAGTGTTTTAGATTGAAAGTAAAAGTCCTAATTTCCTGGCAAAGGAGAAAACTTATTCCAAAATATAGAGATTATATGCAAAAATCAATTATCCACAGATTATTGTGGGGGTATCTTATCCCACAACAATAATGATGTCACTATTTCTCAAAGCACTAACGAAGGGTTTAAATTATTTAGGCTTGAAATTAAAGATTTAGTATATTTAATTTATGGAAACTTATGTATAAATATTTTCGAGTTATTTCTTTTTTAATTGTTCATTTTACTGTTCTTAATTCCCTGAAACTGCTCTATAATATAGTATATTTTACAGTATAGACTATAAGATATTATAATATAGAGTTATAAAAGGATTAAAACAAAAATAATTTCTTTGATAAATTTTATTTACAAAAGGGAAGCACAACAAAAGAACGTCGTGGGCTATTTACTCCCTATGTATAGAATATAATGCCCTCGAGGGTTATGCCCTCGTGACACAGTACCAAGAATAAGTTTTCGAGGGTTTGTTCTTCTCTTTACCTTGAATTTACTCTGAAGCAGCAAAAACGAGCAGTTTACTTTTATTTAATTTTTAAGTTTAATATAAATTGTATAATAAATGTCTTCTTCTCAGTTGCAAGAACAATTGGAAAAGAAACTAATAAATTTTAGGCAACTTCAAACTGGTGACTGGTTTTTGTTACGCTATTTCTAAAAATTATTATACCTATTAGATGCTGTTTTTGCACATTTTTATTCCTTAATTTGTTTTTTTCCTAGGTTGTGTTATAATAGACATGAAAGCATATTACAAAAGATTTTTGTTTATTTTTCTAAACTTATCAAATATTTTGCAGAGTTATTTTTACTCTTTTGCATTTATATTTTTTTTTTACGAATTTTCCCTAGCCCAGCTTACTACAAAAAAAAATTTTTTTATTAGTTATTTTTACTAGTTGTGTTTCTTATAATCCTATATAGAACATTTATAGTAGTAATTACTACTATTATTTGTGATACCTATAGATTATCAAAAATGTTTGTCTACCCGAACTCAACTGGAAGCACAACTAACAGAAAATCAACTTGTTCAAGAGGCAACTTTTATGATAACACTATTAATAGCTACAAAGTAATATAAAAATTTTATAAGGAATTAAGTTTTCTTCAAGATGATGATGTTATATACAAACTTATTGGGCCTGCACTCGTCCAACAAGAACTCAAAGAAGCACAAGAAACTGTGAATAATAGACTGAAATTTATTACTAGAGAAGCGTAAAAAAGTTTTATAAACAATTTAAAACCAATATAGTTTTTTCAATATTTTTAGTTTTATGAGACTATCCTTTTGACTTATAGCACATTACAACAAATTTAAAAAAACTTTATATATATATTATATATGTTATTATTTTTAACAATGTAAGTAAATACATAACTATGATTTAAAGGTTAATGTTATTTAATAAACCGTGGAAACACATTTTTATTAATTTTTTTTTATTAGAATTTAAATCTTAAAGTTAGGTATTCTATTTTTTATAATACTGTAAAAAAAACTTGATATATTATTTTTATTAAAAAAAATAGTTGGTACTTTTACTTAACTATAACTAAGAGGAAAAATTCTTTTTTTATGAATTTTTTTTTAATTTAATAGAGAACGTTACGAAAAGCGGATAACTGAGTTGCAAAAGAAACAAGAAGAAGAACGTAATATGGTTGCAAGGAATTATATATATTTAGAAAGTGTATATATAATTCTGCTGGCTAGAAAGTTTAAGTTAAAGTTACGAATTATATAATTAAGTATAATAATTTTTAAACTAACTTAATTAGTATTTGGAAACTTTTTTTTACATTTTTAGGCTTTTGTAGTTATTGATAATATTAAATATTCACTTATTATATAAATTTATAAATTATTAATTTTTTTTGTCCTTTCTTATCAAGGTTTTGGTTGTGAACTTTTAATTGATATTACTTGTAATATATATTTGTTGTACAGATCAACGCTCTCCAGGAAAAGCTTCAAGTCAACTGAATTTTTCAATAGAATTATGAATGCCATATTATTTTTAAAATTTTAATAAAAAGTTGTATTTTCTTTATTTACTATAATGCCCTAAAGGGTAATCCTTTTTTAAATGGGCAGCTTTGTCTCTTTTTGGACACGACAAAGGGTTTAGAGAAAGTAAAGATAATATTTTTATGGCGCGGAAGAGTATTTATACATTTAAGCCAAAAGTAGCGCTGCATACCTTTTGCCATTTTTACCCCAACACTTATTAAATTTTTGGCGAACGTGCGTTTTTATGTGCATATATTGCCTATTATTACCAGTTTTAGCTGTCTTTTAAAAGATTTTTCTGTACTCAAGAAAATTCAAATTTTTTGGTATATAAACAGTTTAGAGTTAAACTTTGTGCGAGCGCACCTGGAGCAAAAGAACTATCAAGTGCAAGTCACTTACGATTGCGAGACAGTTAACCGTAAAAAATTAGTCTTGTATATATTAAAAAAGTTAGGGAAAGACCGTATTTGTAATTTACTCAGAAACAAATGTGCTACTAACGTAGATGATCGCTGGTATTTTGAAAAAAATCTTAACTCTGCTTTAGTATGTTTAAAACGTCAAATTTCTAGCAAAAATCTTTAGGAATACAAAAATTGATGCTTAAGTAAATAGATTTTCATGCTAATCTTCCATTTTTTTGTTTTTGCTGGTAACTGCACAATAGATTCTCAAAGGGTTTGTACACTAAGCTCCTTGGGCAGTTGCGCATTGCGTTGATGCGCCGAAGTTTCTTAATAACTGTAGAGAGCAGTATCCTCAGAAGAAGATTAGCATATCTTTTAACGATCATGTTGATCTATTATTTTAAACTGTCTGATAATAATTTAATATGTTTGCTATTGAAAAGAGAGATTTTACTTTATAGGATCGTTTCAATATTCAGCTGTTCGATTAATCACAGCAAAACAATTCGTGATAACTTTATAAAATTACCGACGTAGATATATAAAAACTCGTAACCGACTGCTTTTAGATAATCTGACTAGGCGATTTTATAATGCGAGAAACTTTTTTCAACGACACAATTGTTAAAGTTTAGCATTACGCACAAGAAACTTAATATTAACTTTAGAGGGAGCACTTTTCTGGTTAAGGCAGGCGTAAAGAGAAAATAAGTCCACTTAATTTTTTGTCAAGTATTACTTTTAGATAATTAACACCCGAGCATCTTAAACTGTCGTCTCTTTAAGTTTGAAAAGTTGATTAACGCCTTCTTTTGTTAAAAGTGTTAAAGTTATAAAGGACTTTCACAAGAGGTTATATAAGACATGTATATCTTGACAAGATGGAGTTATATTAGAAGATTGGCAACATTACTAAAAATATTTCTATTCTGGCGTCGCTAGACGTAGTAAAGTCTGGCAATATTTACAGAAAAAACAGCGAGAAATTCATAGCACTTTGAGGTGCTTCCCCAAAAGCGGAGTAGATATCGGATAAAGCGACGGTGAATAACATAAAAAATTTCTTTTTTTTACTTTGATAGGAGTAGTGGTCCCCTTACAAAATTTCTAACTTAAGGGCTAAAAAACCTAATTTCAAGAGAGTTTTAAATATAAATTTAGTTTGTAGTAGAGCTCTTAAAAAAGATAAGTATTGGTTATTGCATAAGTTAAAGATCTCCATTGTGAAAATGTTTAAATTGTTACCTTTTATTATCGTAAAAGTCTCTTTAATTATAGATGAAACGAAAGTTTTATTAGATTATTCACCAATGACCACTCCCTTTCGCACTAACACTTAAAAAATAACAAGTAAAAAAAAATACATAACATACAATAGTTTTTATTGCTATGCCTGAGCAACAATGTATCTAGTAAATTTTGATATTAAACAGCAAAAATGGGGCTTGAAGTACGCAGTGGTGCTTTTTTTTTCATGCACAACTAAGCGTCATCACCCTTCTCAATACCTAGGCCAGTATCCCCTCTTTCGTATTGACAGTGCTTACTCATACCTTTGCTTTGGGGTTGACTGTTAATAATATTGATGGGTATCTTAATTGTATCTAGTAATAAGAAGCTCCTTAAATATGTGTATTTCTGCATAATATGACATATATTCGATGGAATGGCAGTTTTCATCTCCCGTAAAGTTAATCCATACACCAAAATCATCCAGATTCCGTTCGTTACCTTATACAATCCCGCTGTATAAAGTTACTACTTTCACCATATATGGTCATCATGTGACTGTGATACTGTCAGTAATTTTACATATGTATTTTGTGTAATATGACTCAGCACCTGTCAGTAAAAAATAAAGACCTAGACTTCAGAAATGTCCGTTCGTTTTTTGCAATAATATCACTTCGGGAAGATGGGTATTTAAAAATATATTCTCTGAACGTGTGCTCACATGATATGGATAGGCCTTTTTAACCATCTTACATTATTTACGTGAACAAAAAAATTCTTTATAACCTCTTCACCATCTGCTTCTCTTGTACCTGATTTCATTGTTAGTTATATCGAACAACGAGATTTCCCCTTCGCCGACTAATTCATCATCAGAATAACGCGCCAAACTCGTTTTATAAAGCCTGCACCTGTTACAGGTCCTATTTGAAAGGCTTCCTGGGAAAAGGGTGTAGCTATTTCATTAATTGCTATTATATAAAGTAATAATAATCAAGTATTACCTTTAAAACACTTTCATTTTAAAAAAATTTATCAATTTTAGTGTACTGGGGTATCCATAAGTACTATTATTATTATTGGCAATATTATCATAACTGTTAATAATAATTTTATTACTTCCCGTCTTTGTTCACATGTAACACAATTGAAAGAAAAGAGGTATTGAATGGATCCGTCATCGCATCAGTTCAGTCATGTGTGGGCCCATCAGGGACGGCGTCAAATAGTAGTTACCAAGAAACAAACACTGGGGCGTCTCATACTCTGCAAAACGGGTTATTTGCCTCCACGTCGTCATCAGGTGTCGAGACCTAGCAGAAGCATAGATTTGAAAAGATTCTAACTACAGTCAAAATAGGCTTGCGATTTTTAAACTTTTGAGATCAATACTTATAGTGAATAGTCTTGTAATAATTGATATAGTAATTCTATTTATTATTATTATTAAACTTTTTTGGGAAGGAGAAGCTAACCATTTATGTATATACATTTAGTAATTGTCAAGACTGAAGCGGACTTCGATTTATATTAAGGGTCTCACCATTATTAGTTTTTTCTTTAACCGTTTTTTCGTCTAGTAAATCTGAATTTTTTTTTAAACTTGTATTAACGATTCAGCGACGAGGACTTTCAATAATTTATTAAAGCTACAGCTTTGTTAAATCCGTCCTTTAATACTTTGAACTTTGCCTTTTTTGACTAGAAGTGGTTTCTTTTAGCAATTTTTCAATTCGCAATTATACAAGAGTTAACAAATTTATATTAGAGGTGGTTCACAACACTGTAGAAAGAATGAGATTAACAAAGGGAAATGGAAAAGGAATGGGACTGCAATAGCGCGAAGGTAAGTCTATAAAAAAGGTACTAAAGAAGGAGGGAGAATGGTAGACAACAAGAAACGCGAAAATTTTAATAAGCAAAAAAAAAAACGCAGTAGTTGTGTTCATTCCATAGAAAAATCAAAGCAGTGTATTATAAAGAAATTGTTTCTTGTAAGTTTTAGACTTGCAGTCAATATTTTAAAATATCGTTCGAGAAAGAGGCAGCCAGACCCACTACATCTCCTATTTCAGTTATGGACTTTCCTTCTTAATATTTTACTAAAACAATAGAAAAACTTTTAAAAGTGGTGAAAGGGGGATAACAAAGGGAATTGTTTAATTTATATATTTGTTAATAAATCTAAAACGATGTTTTTTATTGTTTTTTTTTAAATTTTATAAAAAGGATATTCCTTCTTCGGTTAAGATTCTGAAAAAGGTTTTACAACTAAAAATTCCTAGTGACTATTTCATAATATTGGAGACAGTCTTGCTAATAAATCTTGTACAATGAATTAAAAAATTTAAATGAAGCAGAATTCCGAAGAAAAGACTATCACTGCACGAAATGCATTATTTCTTTTTTATCAAATCTTAAAATTTAATATTTTCATTATTTTTTTTAAACAAAATTTCTCCAAACGACTACTTCTTACCAATTAAAAGAGATTTAGTTAGACTCCAACGACTTAGCAGCATTTTTTTAATTTCTTAAGCTGCTCGGCTTACTAACGACCAAGTAGGTTTACTTGAATTTCTTAAAACAATTCTCTTTTGTATGTATTATTTAACTCCGGGTCATTAAAGTCTTTTTATGTACGCTTTAAAGGAGAAAAAAAATGTTAAGGCGAAAAAATAATAAATGTGTCTATTTAAAATTCTTTTTATTAAAAATATAGTATTTACATAATTAAAAATAAAAAATATTTACGATTATATAAGAGCTTTTACTTTATAATAAAGTCATAAGAAATACTATAAAAATTTAGAGAAGAAAAGTATATGACGAAAATTTATTAAATGTGGCTATTTAAAATTCTTTTTTATTAAGAATATGGTATTTACATAATTAAAAATATTTACAATTATATAAAAGCTTTTATATTATAAAAGTTATAAAAAATACTAAAAAAATTTATATGGAAGAAGTTCTTAAATTTGCCTTTAAGCAATTAACTTTAATATTTTGTATAGTACTAACAATATAAGCAAATCAGGTCTTCTTCTCTTTGGACGTCTTCCACTATATATAAAAATGTTAATCAGAAGTTAAAATAAATAAAAAATTGTATAAAATAAATTAAAGTACATTTTGGACTGCTTTAGAAAATGCTTCTTTATGCGAAAGTGAAGGATTTTCCGCTTTAACACGTTGAATTTCTGCTTTCATAAAAAGATTATAAGCAGAAGGCTGGCGACCCGTTTTAGGCTTAGCGGCTTTCTCCTTCTTAGCTTTTGGCATCTTCAATATTAGCTATTCCAAATAAAAAAAAGTAAAACTTACAAAAGGGAAGACCCTAAATAATCCGTAATGATATATTTTTATAGTAGTTATGACAGTTATCTTTTATTTTATAGTAATAAAAAATGTGTATGTGACGCAATAACTTTAATAACTCGACGAAGTCGGGAGCTAGTATTATAGAATCTACGTCAGTAATCCTCTTACCAAACAAGCGGAATACAAACGGCTGCCAAAGGGTAAAAACACCAAACGTGGGGAGAGCTTAACGAGGAGGGAACGAGCTAGCAAAGCAGAAATTTTTCTTAATAATGAAAGGAAATTTTTTCCTAGCAAAATTTTTTCTTTTAATGGCGCCAAATTGCATATTATAATTTTAATACTCCCATTTGACCTGCTAAATCGCAGTACTAGCGTTAACCTTCATTTTGCTGTAAACTATCCTGCCTTTTTAGTCTTTTCAGATGGCAATACGTGTGAGATGGACCAGGAAATTGCCAAAAAGTTCAAAATAATTATTCTTTTTAATTTATTGGAGATCCTTAATACGGACTCACGTCATATAAAGAGATTTATAAAGATTTTTATTAAATAAAAATTTAATAGATTCAAGTCTGACTTGGTGTCGACTAAATAACTAGTTTTAGTTTAAAATTAGTAATAAACTATTCAGAAACGAGTTTTTATATATATTAAATTAATAGGAAGATTTGAAAAGGGATTATTCCTTAATATTTGCAATTCCTTGGGTATTTTTAGATGCGAGATCGCTTAAAATTGTCGTAACTGCAAAGGTCGCCTCATTTTTCAATATTTGACTTCATCATTATCCCTTCTATGGGCATTGAACTTAGATTATTAACTTCTTAGAAATTAAAAAAGTGACAAAGTGCATTATTGTTTTTTTGCAATGCGACCAAAACAATATAATTTTAATTTTTAATAGCTCTGCTATTTATTTATTAAGTCATTAATGAATGAGGAAGTTCTACTTTAATAATAGTTCGTGCAGTTCTACACTATTATTAAGAAATCAAACTTTATAGATATTACAAACAGAATAAGCTAAAAACCTCTTAGTTACTTCTGGCCATCTATTTTTCACTATCACCAATGTTATTTGGAAGTTAAAATTGCCGAAATTTAAAAATTGAAGTGCTTCCACTATTTCGAGAGTCCCATTACATTAAGTTATTTGCTTTATGCTAATGTAAACTAAAATATAAAATAGCATCACATAAAAATACGCAGATGCTACCATTGAGGTCAATCAGTGTACGCCCTCCTCATTTAAATCACTCGCCTTTTACTTTTAGTCCACTTGTTAAAGGGGTGCATGCCAATACATGGGAAATTTTAAAAGATAAAAAATATTAAATAAGGCCATTTTACTACTTTAAGCAGTAAGCAAACATCACTTTATTATAATAGATAAAGCTGTGCATGCTAAGGTTGTGGCGATGTTATTGCCTCTAATGCACCTAAATTTTCACTTATCCTTTGTAATGTCTTAGTAAAAGACTTGCGCCCAATGGAAAGCACCTTATTTAATTGTATTTTTTATATTAAAGCGTATCCTGTGTTTATTAAAATTCACGTTTTTGGCTTTGACCTTCTTGTCTTCCAAATTTTGTTCTTGTTTTTTATATTATTATTTTTTTATATTATAAGTTGTATTAACTAGTTTATCTTTATGCTTCTATTTTTCTTCTACTTTTTTTTACAGTTTGTAACTTGGAGCGCTTAATTTTCATTATATTACCTTGACTACTTTAAGAGCTTAGCTATGTATACTGTTTCGCGTTTTGATTACACAATGCGTTAATTTGCTTGCCATTATACCACATTGTATGATCTTCAAGAGCTCTAAGACAATTATCCAGGGATCAATTATATTTAATAAAACTATATAATTAATAATTTAGCATTCTCGCATGCTATCAAAGATAATAAGAGAAAAATTAGTAGTTGCATATATGAGCACTTATGTTTACCCTTCTCATTAATTCTTACGGTAGCAATGGAATTAGAAAGTTTTAAGCAAATATTATAGTTCCAAATTAACGATGAAATATGCATTAATCTTAAAACGGTTAGTGAAAGTAGTAAGATTTGATATAATTTAAAAAGTTTACTGTGCTTACTAAAATAAGAAACCTGTACGTAGTAATGACAATAGAAACGATTATTTTTAGCACATAAATTTTCTTCACAAGCCCTAGAAGATCATAGCATTAAAAGAATATTAAAAACAGGTAGCGCTTCTAGTTTTATAATAAAAGCACAATACTTAAAAAATGAAGAACAATTAATTATTGCTGTATAAGTTACGAAACAGAAAGCCGTAACCTTTAATGATAACACCAAAGTGTGCCAATATTAAATAATAAAATAATACAAAATTAACATATATTGATTCAAATATCCTGAAGGATACCAAGGAAATATTAAAATTAATAATACAACAGTAAATTTTAAGAAAAACGTAAGACAAAGGAAAGTTTAGGAGCTCACATAAAAGGCTAAACAACTGCAATTTTAAATATAATTTGTATGTTCATTTATTATCACTAACTTGAAAATTGCGCTGATCTTTTTCTTCCTTATAACTTTTTCTCTCACATCAGATTTTACGTATTCAGGTAAAATTCTTGGACGTGAATGAAAGTATGTGAGCTTTTATTTTTTAGAGTCGTCCGTCGTAACCAGTTTTAATTAAAAAATACCTTTTGTAGATAATTTTAAAGAATAAATTGTAATTAACTTTTTTCTATAACCATGTTAATATACACACCGTTGCCATGTTTTTAACCTCACTGAGATACTTTCGTGGGGGGGAGCTATCTACTTATTACAAATATATTAAGTAAGGTTTAAAGCTAGTTATGAGTAAATTCGTATTAAAAGTGACTCCTTATTTATTATTCCATCTTACTTTGAAAATAACTGTAATTTTTCAAAACAATAATTGTAAACTCTCTTCAATCTTTATCTTTTTAATGACTTTATAAACATAGATATATTTTAACGTGCCACGCCGTTAATCAACTTTTTTATTTTTAAAAAATCTTAAACCTATACCTGTTGTAATAATTGTTAGCTTCAATAGTCTCCAATTTTCGACAGCATAATAGTTACTATATACTTCCTAGAGAAATCTATCTTAGCTTTTCCTCTTTATCGCAAAATAAAGACATGCGGTAGCAATATCCTGGTGGCTTATCCTATCATATTTAACCCATCGTGACAAAACAAGCTTTCCATAGAAAACTCATCTTTTAAATAAAAAAAAGATCTAATTCTTCAATTATTCCTTTCTTTAAAAGCGCCACCTTGTTTATTTAGCATTTAGTAATCTACGCTTATAGTAGAACTACAATTTTATAAAAAATAGGTATCTAAACCTAAACATCATTTTATAAATTGTACACTAAAATGCTCTTGTTTGAATAAACAAGCTCTGATCAATATGTAAGATTTGTTAACCAAAGAATATTAAAAGAAAATAAAATGAAAATTTTAACAGTACATTTATTATCAATGTAAATATTTCTCCTTTGGAAGTAAACTCAAAAGTTAAAAACATGGCTGAATGTATCATCGGGTTGCTGTGAAGGTTGAACTTTCCGATACATTTATATATATTTTTTATTTTATCCACTTTTACCGCAAATTCTGATATAGTGGTCGATAATAAAAGAAACGATCAAAATAATGTACTCTTTAACATCGTCAACAATGGTTAAATCATTTTGTAGATGTATTTTGTTACAAGAATACTAATTTTATCGTGATTCACACTTCCTTTACCTAGGAAATTGCTTATGTCGGCCGGGAAGGAAAAAAAATTACATTGAACTGATATGGATGTAAAAGTGCCATACGTTATAATTTACGCAATACTACTGCCTTGTACCAACGAATGCACCCGCTATAAGAACCTAATTTCAACCATAATAATAAATTCAGAGAACCCTTTTTTAAAAAGTTTTGCTCCAGTCGGAAATATTATTATGTATATCGTAAGGAGGTTGCAGACCACAGTATTTAACAGTACAGGCATCCAAAGCTTATATCTATTTGCGCTATCTTCTAACATTTAAAACTTCGCACTAGTATGTACTCATAAATATTATATGATTAGCACACACTAAACTTGAATTTAATGCCTGGTGAGAGAAGCTAACCTTTTCAGGGGTCCACAGGAAAACTGATAATGGTAATTATATATCTTATTAATGCATATAAAGTCGACGTTTTCAAAACTTACTACTGGCCTAGGTCTTAATGATAGTTATTAAAGCAAAATTCCCGCTTGCAGAAGACGCGCCGACTAAAGTTAAATTTTAATTTTATAGTAAAAAAAAAATTATTTAGTACTTAAATTGCAATGGTGGGCTATTTATTCTTTATTTCTCTAGGCATTTGAAAAAATCTATACCTAGGAACTTCTTTAATTACTATATTTCTTAAAAGTCGCGAATACTAACACGTGCATCGTAACGTACGAGGTTAAACTTTTAAACCAATAATTAAGACTATAGAAGAGTTTTCAATAATTAAACAAAAAGTCATAAGGCCTTTGCACCAAGTGCTCCCACCCGCCCACTTAATAACAAAGAAGTAATAAAAAGTTGAATAGGGCATTTAAGTTTGCACTTTTTGTCAATGAAAAAAAAGAAAAAAAAGAGTTATACTAAATGTTAATAAAATTCTTTGCGGATCTTGTGAGGGTTTACATCACCTATTTAATTGGAAATTGTTATTTAAAATTGTGGAGCTTTAATAAATAGTGACTTAGGATCACACTTTGATGGAATGCAGATTTAACTTCACTTTCATGAATTTAATACGTTTATGTATGCGCTCTACAATAAACTAAACGTAAAGGCGCCTAATATCGGCTGAAACCTTGACCCGAAGGACAACAATGGACATTTAAGGCGTTAAGATGGGCTAAGAGACTCTAGCAGTAAGGTTTATAACTACGTAAACCCATCACACCAGGATTGAGAGTTGTCGTGGTAGCTTCACGGACATGACTCTTTCACCGGTCTGTAATGAATTAAATATTTAACCTCGCACTTTTATAACCTTATACGCTATGAACTCCATAAATTTATGTACATCATATTTCAAAAAATAAAAGGAGGTACTAGCCAGTTGATCTCTATAAAGGAATATGATGATTAACACGAAAAAGAGCAAAGTGCTCTTTGTTTTAATAAAACCATTACGTTGCCGCACACGTCGTGGTAAAGGTCAAGGCGCTTTATCGCTAATGTGCTCAAAAGCATGCAGTCCACGCGCAACAATAGCTTACAGTAGATATGTTTACGGCCTATAATAGCCTAAAACTACTACAAAGGAGGAGTAGTGCACGTACTAATCGTTTTGAGCTCATTTATGACCAGAGTGATCAAGCGCAGCATCTGCTACTTATGAACGTGTCGTGAATTATCCCAGCTTCCACTGGGCACAGAAACTTGCCTACGAGCTCTGGAAATACGTTTGAAACGTCTGCACTACGTTATGGGTGCCTTGAATAGATACTTTGAGCCACGCTGTACGCAAGAGATATTTATTTTAATCATTTCGTAAAAGTAAATAATTTTAACAAAGCGGTTTACGCTTGAGGATATTAGTCATCTGCAGTAGTGATTAATAATTAGAATTATACTGTTTGGGACGAACGTCACATTTGGACACGGTTTACCTTACGCTTATTATTTATACATTGCTCAGGTTAAGCGCTTTACGCTCGAGGTTACCGTGCATTTGCAAAAAAATTTTTTAAAAACAAAAGGCGTCTTATACAAATCCATAAAAAAACATGTAGTTCCTGTGTGGCGGTGGCCCCAAAATTTTTTGTGCCCAACGGTTCTCCGTGTGGGTGAGTCTTACATTTTATTTTCGTAATGCAATAAAAAGTAAATTTTAAAGCTCGAAAGACATTATAGTAATTTTATTTTAAAAAAATTTAAGATGAGACTTCATTCAAAAGTAAAAATATATAGAAAACCTATTGGAAAATTACAAAAAGTTAAGTATTTTTTAATGTTATTTCAAAAAGCTTAATTCATACTTTTATTGTATTATTAAGACTACTTATACTATTTAATCTTTTACAGTTTATTAAAATTATTAAAACAAAAAATTAAATTTTGTATGGCATACGTTACACAGTTTTGATAGACAGACTTCCCTTTTACAACAATTAAATTTTCTCTTCTATTTTCACGTCCTCCTCCTTTTTTTACTTATATTTCTATTAATTTTTAAAAAATTTTACTGTTGCTTAAAATATAGGGGGAAAAAATAGGCAATAATGTCTTTACTAAACAAACTAGTGGCCCGACTATAATTGAAAATGCTGCCGAGAAAGTAAGTATATTTTAGAATTTGTCAAATTCCCAGTATTTTCTATGCATTACAGACTTTTTGTTTACTTGTAAAAGGAAAATATTGGAGAATTGCCGCCTCCAGACGTCTTGGATACAGCTTTTGTAGATCTTGAAGCCTTGGATGAGAGCACGCTTAATATTTCTTCAGACATTTCTCAAAGAAAAACGTTTCTTGAAAATAATTATTTAAATAGTATTGAAGAAACTATAAATAAGGTTGAGAGTACCTGTTCTTCCCAATATTCTGAACTTTATAAGCGTAATGATACGAATGACAACGGCGAGAGCTTGTGTGGTAGTGCTCATTTTAACTGTGAGGATTTGTCTACTCCACTGATAAATCCAGATACTTATAGTAATACAGTATTAGTTAGCAAAGAAAAGTGCGATATTGCTAATTTTAATGATAAGGAAACTACTAACTTGACTAATAACTACGCTCAGGTAGCTAATATTGTAAATAACATAAAAGATGGACCTTGTAAAGTTAGCATATGCGAAAGTTATTTACAGGATGAAGTCGACTTATTAACTTTAGAATCTTCAAGTGGAATTAATAACCTTTTTTTAAAACACGAATACCACGATTCTCTTTGGGCTGACGCTGAAGTAACCACACCAGTAAATACTACGCTGCTTAATAATTGCAGAGAAAGAAAAAGGATTTCACTTGAACTTCCTTCAGTTTTTCATAATGTAGTGAAGGTGTTATTTATTAAATTTAGGAATTTTTAAAATTTTTTTTTAACACTAAAAAAAAAGAAAAGAAAGTCTATCGGTAAACTGGTTAAGGTTTCTTGCCTGGAAATTAGCGAGGACGATTACTTGCAGTCTTCGTTGTTTAGTGAGTTTCAAGACCACCTGACAGCTTTGGAGCTACTAATAGATGAATGCGACCAAGAGGAAGTTACAAGCTTGGAAGAATACTTTTGGTTGCCAATATTCTCATAACATTCGTAGATCACAAAATGATGTTTTACGCTTTTAGTCGCCTTACCTCGATTAAAAAGGTTGGCGAAGGATCCTATGCAGAAGTTTTTAAAGGAACAGTCATAAGCAGCAAGGATGTATTTTGCATTAAAGTTATTCCTCTGTCAAGTACTTCACTAAATATACTTCGTACGCGCCTTTTTTGAATTTTACTGCAATTCCAAGATGACTGTCGCGTAGCAAAGACACCCGCTGAAATGCGCGTAGAGCTGGTGGTTACCAAAACTCTTCATCGACTTTATTCTCAGGCACCTAACTTTGTGCAGCTGTTAAGGTTTACCTCTTAGACTTCATTATGAGCCCAGAAAACTATAATTCATAGAGCGGTGAGTAGTTATCAAGTCTGCTGTGGGCCTTATCCAGCATTGTTATGCCAAGCATGGGAAGAGTGGGAGAGTAACAATGGTTCTGAAAATCCTAATCCGAGTAAAATCTAGACGAATTTATCCATCAAATATACGTTATAATTCGTTTTTGTAGTTTTTTTTACAGAAGAAAACGTTTTTGTGGTCCTTGCGATGTGCTATAAAGGCCCTGACCTAGAGAAATACAAATTTAACAATCCTTTAGAGGTTTTTTGAACGCTCTTTTTCATCCTAATAGCCTTTCTATATATATATATATATATATATATTCTCTTAGGCTCTCAGCTTGGTCCTACAAGTCGTGTGTTCCTTAGTTGTAGCGGAAAGGGTACGACAATTTTGGTATTAAAAGTCCACCATTTGGATGACTGCGCTGCATTGCTCTGGCAGGCTCTTAACTTTGAGCATAGAGATCTTCACTGGGGAAATGTGCTCATTTCCAAAACCCAGAAAGAAACGCTGCAATATTTTGTGAATAATGAAGTACTCATTGTCGCTACTCACGGCATTGAGGCCACAATTATCGATTTCACGCTCTCTCGACTGGAGACGAGTGAACTTGCAACTTTTTTTATTAAAGCTGCTTTATATAACTTTCCTTGTCGATCAGACGGTAATATATATTACTACGCCTTGGAAGACGAAGGATTTTTTACGGGCGTAAATGATATTCAATACGACGTTTATAGGAAAATGCGTTCGTTAAACGATAATAACTGGAAAGACTTTAACCCCGCAACGAACGTTTTGGTTGGTGATGGCGCTGTATTTTCTTTTTTAAAACCTAAAGTATATATTTATGGAAACATTAAAAAGTGGGTCCATTACTTGCTTTACAAAATTATTAATGAAAAAAAGTTGAGTCGAAAAAAATCGAGAAATCAAAGGAAAAACTTAAGAATGTAAGTCGTCCATCCTCTCGTCTGGTGGGCTCAGTTATATTATTTTTATTTCATTTTAAAGATTTAAGCGATTTTTGGATGAAATTGTAGACTATAAGTCACTGTATGAAGTTATTTTTAAATCTGAATTTTCAAGGTTGTTACTCTATTCTTAGCAAGGCATTATCCTTTAGTTTAATCTTTCTTTTACTACAGGAGAATGGTAACGATGAACGAATTAATTATTGAAAATACCTCAAACTAGTCAAATGCATCAACTTACCTCTCATATTATATAATAACTATAATGAGCCAGAGAATCGCCTCTGTCGGCATTTAATAAAGTTTTTTTTTCGTGTTTCCCTTGTTTTTGTTAATGGGTATTTAATGAAGAGCGAGTTATTCATTGAAAATACTATAAAGTATTCAAGTTTCACAAGTTAACCTCTAAAAATTATATAAAACTATTAACTTTTATAAGTCACGCAACCGCTTCTGTGGCCATTTTATAAAGTAATTTGCGGATTTTACCTTTTTATCAAATAAATGGTAGAAAAATATCCTTATATATTCATTTTTTATTTTTACATAAATACTCACAACTTATTATTTAAAGAAATTTAAACTTGATAAAAAAAAGTAGGCATTCTTGCAAATCGCAGTGAACATTTAAAGTTGCCCTTTTGTTTCTAAACAATTCGAAAATTCACTCAACTTTGAGCTCCACCGTTACAGTTGAAATTTATTCAAAAATAATAAAAACAATAAAAAATTTAATTTTTAAATATAAATGAAAATTTAAAAATCTTGCTAATCGCATTCAACAATTATAGTTGCTTTGTTTCCTAAAGAAAACGAATCTAAATTTTGGTCATCTTCAAGATCAAAATTTCGACCATCCTGAATAAATAATTCACGATACAGTTAAAATTATTTTAAAATTAGAAATCTTTTAATTTTCTTAGTTTTTCTAAATCAAGTTTTAGTTTAATGTTTATAAAAAACTTTCTTACTTCAGGATCAAATAATTTAAGCTTCTGAATTCTTGGCGGTACACCAAAAATTCGTTTGACAAAAAATTTTAATTTAGAAATTTCCATGCCTCCTTATTTTTAATTAAATTAAAATTGGGAATTTTCAACATAAAAAAAAATTAATAATGAAAAATAAAATTTTTAAATAAATAATATTTAGTATTATTATAATAATAATAAATAGAAAAGTTCATTGTTTTTAATAAGAATTTTAAGTAAAAAAATAATTATTTTTTTTTGCAATATATATTATTTCATCGCTTATAAAAATTTTTATTGCATATAGAATACCATATATATTAATAACTATTTCGTATATTTGTGCTATTATAAATAACAAAAAAAAAAGGAAGTTTTAATATTTTTGCTTATGTTTTTTTCTAGCTCCAGTACGCGTAGTTCTTAGTGATTTAATATAGCGTCTCTGGCGTAATGCTGTAAGAAAAAAGATAAAGTTATAGAATTTACAGGCGATCACACTAAATTTTGACATATCCTTGAAGTTATATGTACACCGTTTAACTTAGGAATCCATTTCTGGATATTAGCGTGTTCTTTCGAATACGTCTCTGCCAGCCGCATACTCTCTTTATAATTCACTTTTAATATTCTCCTTTAGTATAAGCCCTATCGAAAGAAAAGAGAATACTTTTACTCTTTTCCGTTAGTAGCTGGCGACTACTTCCGGGATATCAAGCAGATCTAGTGGAACCTTTTGTGTTGGCGACACCAGCAGAGTCATGCCAAACACTGCACCTTTTAGCAACTAAGCACCGTCTAAAGTTCACTAGTGGCATCACTATTGTTTCGTTGCGGGGCCACTGGTGCGATTTAGAAATAAGTTTTACGAAATAATCAAACGGAAACGTAAACCGCGCTGGAGACAACAGCCCTGCTTTATAGCAACATTCGATTGTTATTGTAGAATGGACTGTTGTGAAGATTATTAGTATCTGGCGTGAGACCCTTTGGGTTATTATAAATAACAATCTCTGCTTGCTCTTTACCCTTTTTAATAAAAATTTAATCTTTCAAAAATAAAATAGAGGGAGTATCAACCTTACTAATAACTATTGTGCTGCTGTAGGAAGGAGCTGTCGTGAAGAGTGTTAGTATCTAGCGCGGGTCCCTTTAGGCTATTATAAACAATTATCTTTCTTTGCTCTTTCCTTTTTTTTATTATGAATCTTAAATATACTTATATTATAATAGTGTGAATTTATAATGTCACTAATAATTACACGTAAGTAAAAAAGTTTTAAGTTGGATATACTTTATAATTATTACTTTATCATATAATTAAAATTTATATATAATTTTTTAAGTAAAGCTTTGTAAAGCTATGTATAGGTATGCATAACTTTTATATTTTTTACATTTAAAAGTTTTTTAGATTAATTAGAATCTTTTAGATATTTTGAAAAAGTTATACACAATTTTGTTTTTTTTTAAATTATATTATATTTACTATTAAAAAGTTCTAAGTAATATATTTTATTAGCAGTTTTGTATATTATTATTAAAAAAATTTACTAATCTTTTTGTAATAAATTCAAATTCAAATTTTTTTTTTACAAATTTAAGTTAAAAAAAATGACATTTTTAATATTTATTTATTGAATTAAAATTTTTAAAGCTAAAATAAAGTAAAAAAAATATATTTTCTTTAAATTTTATTTTAAAAAAATTTAAATAATTAAAATTTTTTAATACTAAATTTAATTTTTATTATAAAACCAAAATAACAAATAAATTTTTAATACTAAAATTAAGTAAAATAATAACTTTCAAAATTTTGTTTAAAATTTATGACTAATTTTAAATTTTTAGTACTAAAATTAAGTAAAATAATAACTTTCAAGATTTTGATTAAAATTTAAGACTAATTTTAAGTAAAAATAAATTAAACCAGAATAGAAATATTTTAATACTAAAATTACTTAAAGAAGTAATTATTTAACAGAATTAAATAAAAACTAAAATTATATTAATACTAAATATAATTTAAAAAAAATAACAAACTTTAAAATTTTATTATAAATTTAAATTAAAAATTAAATTTTTTACTAATAAAAACTCAAAAAAAAATTTAAAAAATTAAAAATTTTATTTTAAAATTAAATTAAAAAAACTAAAATTGGAATTTCCTTCAATATTAAGTGGAAAAGTAGAAAATAAAATTAATCTAAATTTCACTTTAAAAATAATTTATAATTAAATTTTTAAAAACTAAAATTGCGTAAAAAAAGTATTTAATTTTATTACCAAAAATTAAGTTAAAAATTAATATTGAATATTTACTTATTAAATATTATTATAAATATAAAACTTTTCTACTATATTTTTTATATATGAGTAGTAGTAGTAAAAAATAAAATGGCTCACCTTTGAAATTTTATTATGAAGTGTAATTATTTTAAAAAAAACAGAACAAAAATTTAAAATTCAAATTCAGATCAATTAAAAAAAAAAATTTAAAACAAATTTACTTACTCGGGACGTTTCTCACGTCATCTTTGTTATTATAAGTAAAGCAAACTTCTAGATTATAGAATAATTAAATTAGATTCGGTATGAATTTTACAATATTAACTGCGTGACGTGTCAGAAAAAGAGAAGCGTATTGACATCAGAAAAGAAATAAAAAAGGTGGAACAAACATAAAAACACCATCTACTTCACATGTCGCACTCACGTGGTTTAGAACACGTGTTATCCCATCAGAAGAGTCACGTGGTAATCCATGTAAGATAGAGGCAAATTGCACGGTATAAGCCCGTTCACTCCAAAGCGAACTTAAAAGTCTTATTAAATCGCTATCAAAATTGTTTAGGACTAATTAAATGAAGACTTCCTTGCTGGTTTGAATTTAGTGATAATAACAATATTACTTAAATTGCACAAGCAAACTTTAACTTATAAATAAATATAAGCAAATTTATATAAAAATCTATTTTTCAGCGTAAAGGAAACGCTTGATTTATTAAAAACTAAAATAAATTTTATTAAAAAAAACTAATAAAGTGAAATTTGTAAATTATTGCATAAGCAAAAAAATTCTTTTTAATTGAAAAATTTAAATCATATTTATATAAATAAATTAAAATTTAATTATAAAATTTATAGAGCAAAACTATATTTTATAAATTAAATCAAATTTATTAATTAAATACTCTACGTATTTTGTATACAACTTCTAATTTATAAGAAAATTGAAAACAATTTTATTCAAAATGTTATAAATTCATCGGGTAAGACAAAAAATTTTAAATAAATTATAGAATTAAAATTAATTTTAATTAAAACTTATTTTATATAAATTATATCAATTTTATATAAAAAGTCTATAAATTTAATTATAACGAAATTTACTGGTAAAAAAATTCTAATTAAGTTTTAATTAATTTTAAATTAATTAAAACTTAATTTAATTCAATCATATATAAAATTAGAAATTTACTTAAATTCTAAAAATAATTAATAATTAAAATTAAAAAAAAAACCGATCGTGCTGAGCATGGGAGAAATTCTTAGAGGATTTGCTGGTTTCCCGTATTCTACACAAATTTACTTACAAAATTAATTTCTATAAAAAAAATTTTAAAAAATTAACTAACGGCCAACGAGTCGAGCAAAGGTTTTTTGGTTGGTCATGAAATTTTCTTCATCGGCATAAAATTGTTTTGCAAGAAAATTGATATAAAAAAGTTCAGCTTCTTTTCTTTCTTCCTGTCAAAATTAAAAATTGATTATAATTTTATAATGATTTTAATTTTTATAAAAAATTTATACGTGCCCGAAGGATTTCTGAATTGTTCAGCTTAACAATGTTGCGATTCTCCGCGATAAGAATACTCCTCGCGACGTATTGATCAGCAACCTCTATTAAATAAATTAGATTTTTAAATTATTTTATAAAATTTATTAAAAAACCATATAAAAATGGGTTTCGGGCAACAGAAAAATCTTTCAAACTAATAAAATTCGAAAGATCGCTGATTTTATTACTCTGCAAAAAAAAAATTAAAAAACAATTCAATAAAATTAATTTTTTTTAAAAAAAGATTTAAGAAAATTTCAAGAATATAGAAAAAAATTAAAAAATAATTAAATTAATTAAAAAGAAAAACTTCAAGAAGACAATCATTCAAGCTGAGCACTTCAAGATTTTCGAATCCGCCAGCATAAAAGACACCTCGGATTTGATTTCCGTCCAAAAGTAAAACTCTTAAGCTAACGCTGACGTTCAGCTGCTCTGCACACAAAAAGGGATTCAAATAAAAATTGTATTAACCTTTTCAACGATTTCAAAAAATTAATTTGCGACCAGTAAGAAATGGCATTCCACTGTAAATTCAAAACAACCAATTGTTCAAATTTACAGCTTTTTTATATAATTAAGAAAAGCATAAAAATATTTAAAAATTAAATTAAATTTAAATAGATCAAGTAAAAACTTCTATGCAAGACAAAATTAAAACTTTGAAAATCATTTTAATAGTTATTATATGAAGTTTATCAATTACATATTAGATGCCGTAAAAATGTTATTTTTAGCAAGTTCGATTTCTTCAAGATTCGGAAATACACTCGAAAGGGAGCTAAGCTATTTTTGTTTAATACAAGGCAAGTTGCTTTCAAGTAAATATTTTAAAAGTTATATTAAAAATAATAAATTATTATATTTTATATAATTATTATATAAATTAATAAAAGTTATTAAATCTTTTATAAAGTTCGGCAAAATTTAAATTATCAATCAAGATAAAGTATTTAAAAGCAAAGCAATGAAGTATAGTTTATTATTAACCACTAAACCATTTAATAAAGTAACGAGAGAGAAAAATATAAACAAAAATTTTATTTTAAAAAAAAAAAAAAATAACGGTCTCTTCAGAAATTGAAGTGTCGTTCAAAATAAGTTTTCGAAGAAAAGGGAATTTTGGAAATTGAGATGGTAAACTATCCATCTTGTTGCGGCTTAAACAATAGTAAAAAGTGTTTTTTGAAAGAAAAAATTTAGAAATCAAGAACCTTAAATCAAGAAAAAAAAGATTAAAAAATCCTAATAACTGAAAAATATACTCCCAGCGGTGTAACAAATTATTCTGAAGTTCAAGTTCTTTTAAATCTAAACAAAATTTTAGCATTTAAAAAAAATTAGAAAAATTATTTCAACCTTGAAATTTTTTCAATTCTACAATATCGTTACTATTAAAGCCTTCATTAATTCGCTGATCATTTACACTTGCAAACTTTAGATTTATTCCTGAACTATATTTTTCTTTTAAAGCACTGAGTAAAGTTTTTCCAAAGTCCACTTTATTATACGGGACAAAAGAGGCACCAGTTTTAAATCTATCAATAACTACTGTATCCCATCTTGTTAACTATGATTTTTAAATTCTATTTTACTTGGAAGTAAAGAATCTCTTCCCTTGAAATAAACCATTGTGAATTCCTCTTGCAGCATCGTCCCATTCTATGCCCACGTATAAACCTAACAACGTTGTTACATAATGAAAGTAACGATTTAAGCAGAACAAGTTTTCATGTTATTAATATTAAAAAAAAACCATTTTTATTATCAAGATGACCAAAGTATCGAACAAAACCATAATCTATTCCATTCTTAGTATGCACACAAACCCGCTTAAACTCCGGCTCAGGCAAATTCATATTTAACTCAAAGTTAGAATACTTTTTTTTTTAATGTAAAAAGCGAAAACTACGGAGAAGTTTAAGGCGAAATAGTAGTTAGGTTAAACTTTAAATAATGCTAGAGTAAAGCACTAAACTCAACTCCAGCTTGTCTGCCCAGCACTAAAGTAGAATGCCAATTGAGAAAGAAGAGAGAAAAGCTGGTTTCTAACGATATTGACTAAGTTAAAACTAGTTTTATTGTATGATGTCTATTTTTTTTTATCATAAAGACTTTCAAGATGAAAAAATTTAAAGAGACGAAGTTAAAAGATATACTGTTATTTTATAAACCATTTGAATCCTTTTAAAAATAACAAGGTGTCTTATTACAATTGTTTATCTACCAAGTAAAAAGAAGTTAATTCTTTATTTTTAAACAATTGTGAATAGCTTTAAATATAAAACTTATTTCTCATTATATGCGCCTATATATTAGAAATAGGATATTGACTTTATTATAATTATTACTTGATCGCTTTTTTTTTTAGTAGCATCAAAGTTTGGAGTCAAAAAATCAAGCTCATCTACCATGTTTAATGTCTTTCAACGGCCATTGAGCCGCTGAATGGGTTGTCGTTGGGTCGCCTGCCTGTCCTGCTCGGTTTGGGCGACGTAAAGGAAGCGATAAAGATCTACTCCTAATCGTATAAGAATTAGAATAAAAATTTACCCAACTGCTCGCGAAGGCGCTCCCACCGTACCCAATACCACTTAAACTCCCGCTAAAATATACCGGGCCGTTGTCGAAACTGAGCGCGCGGTGACAGAAACTCACAGCAAAACAACGCCGATACGTGAAGTGGTGTACCGCCCTATTAACCCTTCCTGGGGAACTAAGGTATCAATATGCGAGCATCGGCTATTCATCCGAGTTAGCCATGACCTTTCAACGCGTAGAAAGCAAACACCAGCACATTAGGAAAAAAAGCTGATGACGCCTATAAACTTCCAATGGGATAGTAAAATTAAACGAAGTATAGGATGCGGGTGACATTGGCCGCATTTCCTAGGAATTTGTCAGGAGTCAGCAAGCGCGGGCATCCAACTCGACCACCACTTCGCAACGGCGCTACCGTAACCGAAAGCAATAAAGACCAAGGCAAAACTTTATGCTGATCATTTAGCTGCTTAGTGTTCACCGTCTTTCCCCTTTAAACCGTCGATAACGCCCCCCATATGCCTAATCTTATCTCGACCAATACAACTAATTCTCTGGAGCTGTAGGCACCAGTTGAGATCAAATCAATTGTCAAATTGCTACCGAAGCGAAAGACGCCCGGCCGGGACACCCTCACTAACCTGCCTTTAAAAAGACTACCATAGGCGGCTACAAATTGTCTATGCAACCTCGTCAACTCGGTGTCAACCTTCAACTATTTTCCCGGGCGAGGGAAAATGGCGGTGGTCGTGAGGTTACCGGAGATATTGCAACCTGGCATCAAAGCCTCTCAACTGTCCACCCTTCAGCCTTTTGTCGGCAGTTGGTAAAATAGCCAAAGCAGTGTTACTTAATCGTTTAAAGGCGGTTGTGGCCGCTCATGGGATTTTACAAGAGTCTCAGCTTGGATTGTGCAAGGGCCACTCAAAGACCCGACCAATTTCTCGCTTAACCGTGTGGACGACCAGAGCATCTGATTTTAAGGAAGCCACCGGTGCTGTCTTTCTCAATGTTAAGAAGGCTTCTGGTCGAGTAATGGCATGGTGGCCTTGTCAAGCAAGCTACATATTCTGGCAATACCGCGCGGCCTTAAAGAAACACTCAAGTCGTACCTAAATGGCAAGGTCTTTAACGTGCGAGCAGGCTGCTGCACTATCGTCCCATCCGTTATCTCACAATTGGAGCCCCGCAAATCTTTCTCTTCTATCATCGCTGCTGTTCGCGTTTTGTACGAGCGACATTCTTTCCCAGCCCACCTGTTAAGCACCAAAAAGTAATGTCGCTTCCATTATGACTGGGCGTTGGCTGGGCGTTGTGTATAGGAAATAATATTCAATAGACAATAAACGTAAAGGACTTTATTAAAGATGAGACAATAAAAGAAACACAAGTATACCAAAACAAAGACGGATAGAACATAAACAGAACAACAGATCACTAGAATAGGTTAATCAGATCATACAAGAGACCAGAACAGAACCCCGTAGCAAGTAAGGGGAACCCAAACCATGAAGGAAAAAAATAAACACAGCTTGAGTTTCTCCCTATGTATGTAGGATGGTGTGTATCCGCGTGCAAAGACTGACAAAAATGAGTAAGTAGCCGTGTGCACTAATTAGAGATTAAAAGGGGAAGTAACTTAGGGGAGGAAGGAGCGAGGTCTTACACCACCCTTACAAGCGGGTCGCCCAATTACACCGAGGGTACGATTCTTTATTCGTCATCAAAGTCAGCCGTTTTACTACATTAGCACTGACGTGCTTGCTAGCTGGTGCGGTGTCGTCAAGGGGCCTCTCCAAAAAAAAAATTACTGAGATAAGCTTTAACGAATATCTTTTTTTTTTATACAAATAGATTACTCCGCAATAAAAGAGGGCAGGGGAAATTAAATAAAATAGCCTGAGAGCGCCCCGTCTGCTACAAATACTTGCGCCTACCTAATCATAATAAAACGACAGACAACTTGAAAATAAAGTTCCTAATTAAATTATAACTAATAACCATTTCATTCAAACTATACTTATTTTATTTCACAACCATATTTATATAAGTTTCATCAAATTTATTTTTGTATATTTGTCCTTCCTTGTTCGTTTAAAGCTTTTTATTATCTATGTATATACATATTTCCTTAAATACCCCTCAACTTACCTAGCCGTTTAACCGTTATAAATTGGATATACAACAAAACTCAACACTGACGAACCATAGAAAACTCCGCGGTATGTCACTTCCTTACTCCTCTGTTTGCTTTGTTACTAGTAAACACGGTTGGCACGGTTCTATCAAACCTAATATGCCGTCGTAAGGGTTTATTTAAACAGAATAAACTTTATTTGTTTAAAAATGTTTATTATTTTCCTATGACTTTTGTTGTAGCCTCAACCAGAACAGCCTCGGCAACCACAATGAACGCATTCAACAACTTTTCCTTCCTCTAACTTAGCTTTTGGAACACGGCAGATACACTAAATAAATTAATTACACTTAACAAACTTTAATGGTACAGTAATAAAATAGTAGAAAGTCCAATGCTATTTAAGAACATTTATATAACCACTTTCATAAGAATTTAGAAAGTAAAGTAACTTACTTGGGTGCCAAAGTTAGTATCTTTTGTTTGAATGCATCTTAGGCAACAAAGATTTTCATAACCTTGCTAACAAAAAAATACACAGAGTAGGTAAAAAGACTGAGATATATTAAGTTTTTAATACTGTTTAACTATAAAACATTTACAACAGGATTGACAAAAAAAGTAATACTAATACAGGAAATAAAAAAGAATCACTTAAAAAGTTTTTGGGTTTCAAAATAATAAGTTGAGGAGACGTTATTAATATTATAAGTGAAAAAGTAGATTTCCCCTTACCTTTTTCCACTTCGCTATTAAAGCTTTATCGGCGTATTTTTCAGATAAACAGTACTCGTATAACTCTTTGCTAATAGCTTTTCTTTTATAATAGAGTTCGTATATGTAACGAGAGCGCTGATGATGAAGTTGAAAAATGGGCCAGACCGTTTCAACTCTTCTTTTCCCTTCATGACCCTCATTTTCGGCTGAATTAAGAAATGTATAACAGTAATTTTTTATAAAGATAAATAAAAATAATATAATAGAGAAAATAAAATAATAACTAGCAACCTTCCCTAACTTTATTCTCAATCTCATTAAGAGTTGGTTCTATTAATTCCCAGCCGTCTGGTGGCGGTTGCCGCCTTAAACTCCGAATTTTAGGCATTTATCCCCAATAATCAACTTCTTATAAAAATAAAGAATCTTTCAGTCCAAAAATAAGTAAGTTTCCATGAAAAAAAAAAAAGGCCTTCAGTGATATTAACAATCTGAGCTCAAACCATCACAGCGATAATTTTGTAGTAGCTTAGTCACTTGATTATTACTATCTACCACGAGTTCACCATGTGTAAATTATTAACTTTAAAGACAGTAGGCTTATTTATTGTTAGTTAAGATAACCTTAGAACCTGGCGTATAATTAAAATTATCTATTTGTAATGGTAATAGCTATTTCCTGTAACTTAGCAGATAGAACCACGTTTTTTCTTTAAAAAGTAAATATCTACTTGAGATCATGTTTTTGAATTAACACTACTCAGAGTATATATTTATTGAAAATGGGAGGGGAAAAGCATTCCATTTTACAGATTAAATTTTGTTTAGGCCCTTCAGTTGTTAATGTCTATGATATACATAATTAGCGCTCTAAATCTTTACTTTGTAATAACTGGTTGACTTAAAGTTGAGTAGAAAATTCTAAAACCATTCTTAGAATCGTAAATATCAGAGGTTACTAGCGGAAAAGAGTAAGCTCTTTTCTTATAATAAGTAAAATTTTAATAAAATTGAAATAGTTTTTATTAACTTGGTTTAATAAGTAGCTTTTTCAACAGGAATTTGTTAGTCTTAGCCTCTACCCAGTTCTTAGAATTAAGTGAACTCCTAAAAAATTTAATTTAGAAAAACATTCAAAAGCGTAAGTATTATAAATTGTTCATAATATATTAAAGACTATATTATGGTAAAACCTGAGTCTGTAAAAACTAGATCGCTTAACTCTCCAATTTTGAGAGCGAAGACTGCTCTTTCAAAAGGTTCTTGCATTTGACCGCGACTAAAGCTACCGAGGTCACCTCCTCTTTTCGCACTACTGCAGTCGCTGTTGAAATAATGAGTTTATGATTCTTTATTTAAATTTCCAAAGATGTTATTAAATATATATGAAATAAACAAGTGGGGACGTGAGGATTTAAAGGAGCCTATTTATATTTCATAAAACTAAAATCCATTGATAAAAACTCGGCGGTTTCAAGGGTACTCTACTTCCTCAAAACTAAGTTCTGTTAAATTATAAAGTACGTTTATATAAGACGTCTGCCTCTTGGATTTTAGACTAACCAATTAAAATTTAAACAAGCCACAAGCAATAAGGCGTAAGATTGACAAGTTTATTCGTTACTAATAACCACAAATATCATAGCTATAACTCTCAAGGTTCCACTTGTTAAAACAAAAACCTTCCATAAGTGGTAAATATATGAAAAAGGCCGATAATATATAGTTTATTAATAGTAAAATCCCACTTAGATGTTCCAACCTATGAATTCTGGCAACTTCAGAAAAATTTTGTCCTTCCAGTATTTGTTTTTGGAAAGTTTTAATTTTTTCAATGGCTTCCTCTCTGGAACGTGTTATCTTTTTTTCTCTCCAAGAAGAGGGATTTCTTGAATCCTTATGCTTAACCAACAAATGCAAAGCGCTCACAGAACCTAATTTATAGATTATACAATAATATGTATACCTTTATCATTTATTATGTATGATGGTTAAGCAAGGGAATGTTAAATAAAGTATATACAGAAAAACCGAAAGTAGGTTGTGCAGGCTCTTCAGGTTTTTCCCATTGAGATTCTTTAGTGTATTCATTTACATAATAAATTCTATTTTGTGAACGTGAAACTTTTTGAATCCATCCATGAGGTAAGTCAACGTTCATTATTAATACGGTGAGGAATAATCAACCTCTACAACAAAAAAACGTAATGAAAGTGAGTTATTTTTAAAAGAGTACAATAAAAAAGGAAGACACGTGTTAGCAAGGAGAATCAGCATACGACCTCGGCGAGTTAATGTTTCCACAGGAGTTGATTACTAACATTTTCAACGGAAATTATCCACAAAGCAAAATGTTAGTTCTCATATATTATACAGTTTATAATGAGAATTTGAGGCTTTAATAAAGGTTAAATTAAATTATGTAAAAAAGCAGTATTTCCAGTAAAATAAAGGAAAAACTAAAATTGTTATATAAAATATCGTTGATTAGCCAATCTCAGTTGCCAAAGAGGCAAGTATAATACTGATTGGATAGTTAATTGTTGCTTGCATTAATGAACTGGCAATTACTGGTCGCTGTGAAAAAAAGTTTCATAGCGGCGGAGGGCCAGGCTTGAAAAGTTTAATATTTTATAGTAGTTATTAGCGTACAGTACGGTTGAATATTATTATATTTTTATCTTTGTTGCTTCATTTTTGGGCGGAGCTTACTTGTTATATATCTGATGACTGAATGCTTTTTTAAAAATTTTGATTTTGAAAAGCTTATTGCCAACTCAAAAGTACTTTTTCAATATTATTAAAAACAGATATACTGTTATATTTTATTTTAAATATGTATTTATTTATTACAGTTTATCATTGAAAGTGATCAGGGTTTAGACTCCTTTTTGACTCGCTCAATTATACAAGATAAGATTGAAGCTATTGATGTTCAGATTAATAATATAGAAGAAGCTTTGCAGTATTTAAAGAAGTATAGTATTTGTGTAGCGTATTTATAAAGTTACACAATTGTGTATATTACTATTTTTAGAGAACCTGAACTTTCGAGCTTAACTTGTTTAGAAAATCAAACTGAAGTTAATGAGGTAAGGCTTTTCATTTAATTAGTATCAATAAATTTGCTTTGGTAGTTTAAAGTTATTTAGATCTCTGAACATTCTTCTGTTTCAGAACCTTCCTTGGTAGATAAAATTATTAAAGAAAACATTGTTATTGCAGAGAAGTCTCACAGAGTAATTTCTTTTTTATTTAATTGTTTATGTTTGAGTTCAGGTAATACTATCTATTATTTATTTTCACACCCTTAATTAGAAGTTATTTAATAGTTTAATATAAAGTACATCTTAATAACTATAGATTTTATAAATTAATTTAGCAGGGAAATTTGAGAACATTACTATTTCTATTGTATACTTAATAAAAAAGATTTACTTTTGAAGTAATCATGTTAACTTGCAAAAATATTATATAAATAGCTTATTAATACTGGATTTTATTCTTCTCCTTGTATTGATGAAATCACTTCCGAAAGCATTTTTACGTATACAAAGTTTCGTCCTGCTCTTCTGCAGTTTTTAAGGTAAGATTTCATTAATAAATTGTAGCGCGATTTAATTCTTCTTTTTGCTATTTTTCCATTGACTACTACTATACTGAGTATAATTGTTTTAAAATCACTAGAGTGTAGGATTTTACAATCGACTAATTTTATCAGCCCGTTACACGCAGCTCAATTCTTAAAGGTCAGGGCTAGAGACCTACCTCTTTGTCATAAGATTTAAGTGTAATTTATATAGTTAAGGGCGGATTCTTATTACATTTGCCTGCTCACCCGAGTAATTAGACAAGGCGGTTTTTAATTATAATTGCATCGTATATAAATTTTTTTAAAGATGATATATTTTTTCTCAAAGTATCTACTATAAATTCACGCGAGAAAAATTTAAAATTACCATTTTATTAAGCGAGACGGTTTATAATAAGATAATGAAGAATTGTAAAAGACAAGTTAAACGGTAGAAACTGAAGCAAAGATATTGTCAACTTTTTAATATTTTAGCTTCAGATTTGAGTAAAATTAGTTAATCTTTACTGAAATTATTTAAAAGCTATATTATTTAATAAATAAAACTATAAATATTGTTTAATTAACGTTATGCAGAAGGAAAAAGCTTCTAGGAAAACTAAATAGAAGAAGATGGAAGCTTCTTTATGATAAATATGAGCGTGCATGGAAAAGTAGGATTGACAGTTTACACATGTCCCCGTCATATCAAGAAAAAGAAATTGCTGAAAAGTACTATTTTACTATACTAATTACTTGAAATTCTTTTTTCATAGCTTATTTAATTAAGTGATATTATATAATGTGTATTATATTACTATAGGTACTTTTTTGAAAAAGAATTTTCTCGTACTTTAAACAATAAAGTAAATTATTTGTGATCCAAATTTTTAAATATGACCATACTTAAATGCTGCACAGAGTCTTTCAAATCCACCACTTTCTACAATGACTAACTCTTTTGGCCGAAGGAGTCATTCTAGAGGTTCATACGTTTATTATAACCTTTTTGTATTTTTATTTATAATATAGCAATTCTTTAGGAGGCGACGCAGTAAGGAGCGAAGCAGAAATGGAGCAAGTTCTACTGGAGTTAATGGCTCAAGAGCGCAGAGCTGGGAGCAGTGAAAAGTTTGTTATAAGCCATCTAGCCCTTTTTATTATTTTGGACCATCATAGAATAATCGATACTGAACTTTGTTACTTTAAAATAATTTGGACCAAAATATTGTAAGTATGACTATTAGGTTTATTTTTATTATTATTCAGATGGAAATGCGCTATGGCCACTATTCCTTGTTTACTCACGGAAGATGAAAGAAGAGTGAAGTTTTTTGATAGAAATAGGCTACTTTTTGATAAGCGCCTTCTTTTAATTATGGAAGGCTTTAGGCGTCCTTGGCTTGATGCTGAAAAAGAAATTTTTTTAGAAAAGTATATGTCTGTAGTTAATAAAGCAATGTTTTGGTATAATAACAATAACTTAATAACTTACTGAGTGTACTATTAAATTTTAAATGGATTATTGAATAAGTAAATGGGCGAGTATAAGTCACTTAACTATTAGTTTCGTTTTAAATGGACTAATAATAAAATTTTGTTCGTTCAGGTATCTCCAATATCCAAAGAAGTTTGAAAAAATTTCTACTTTTCTTGTTAATAAAAGTGTTTCAGAGTGCGTCGCTTATTATTACGCGAGCAAAAAAAAAATAAATTATAAGCGTCTTGTTTTAGAAATGACAAGGAAAAAAAAACGCTCTGAGAAGGCTATTACTGTGAGTTCTAATTTGGCTTCAGTAAAATTTACGTTTTACATAAACGCCTTGTTACTTTTATAGGATGACGAGTTTTTGAAAGGTAAAAGCTTTCGGTTGGTATATAAACCTCATAAGAACATTATAGAGAGCGAACAAACTCTTAAGTATGAGTTGGCTAGCGTAAGCCGTTTTTTATTATCATTTGTTCTAATTTTATTACTTTTATTTAAATAGCTCACCCCCTCCCCCGCGCTTATGAAAAGAAAATATATAAAAGAAGACGTTACTAATGATAAAAACTTAAAAAAACTCTGCGTAGCCCTCACACCTCGAGAAACACAGTTTGCGTTAGCCACACGGTCACGCTCGGCCCGTTCTAACTTTTTTAGTGCTCGTAGCACTGGAGTTATTAGTTTCTTGCGCGGCGTTTTTAGCCACGAAACCATAGACCCTGCAAAAATTTGCTCATTTCAAAGATTATTTGTAGAATGGTCATTTTTCCCAGTTTATGCGGAAAGAAAATTTTTTTTAAAGACACTTTACTTACATGCTGCTCAAGCACGTCTTTTTGAAGTCCTCAGGAATAGGAAAAGGGTAGCTTGGAAGAAAAGAAAGCAGTTCAGAAGGGTTGTAAACGAGCGTAGCAGCGGCTTATTTCCTGAAGTTACTTGTTCAGTTCGTCAACTTATGTATACTTGTGAGGCTAAGTCTGCTGATGAAGCTCAGTTGTATATGGTTACTCAGCAAATTTTGAAAGGCAAATCGAATTGTGAACTGGAAAAAGTTGAAAGTTCTAAAGTTTTACTACAAATAGCTGATCTTCAGTTTAACAGAGATAGCAAGGAACTTGACTACATTAAGAGTGACGAAGAACATTTACATTGTAAGAGTATTGACTGTGAGGAGTTAAACAAAGACAATTTAGCTTTAGTAGGTGGAGCTAGTAATAGTAGTTTGTCTATAACTGAAACTTATTTGCCGTCGGATGGCTTAATTAAGAATGCTGTACAAATGTCTAATAATGATAATAGCGTTAGAATTACCACTACAGTTGCTGAAAGTCATTTTATGGGAGGCCCTTTCGATTGTCATTGCCACTCAGTAAATCAGTCTAGCAAGAAAAAGAAAAACTTACCATCTAGTTCTGATACTTCTTTTAGCGCTTTGAAAACTTTACCGAAACAGCCTATTATAGAAACGGTAGAAGAGGTTGTTCTTGAATCTTCTTTTACTTGTCGGGTTCACCCCCAGTCTTGTAAGCGCCCTCTTCCTTCTAGATGGCCCGTACATGCGGTGTCAACTTCGGCGTCCCTTCAAAGACGATCATTGCCTCCGTTTCCGCCACCGCACAATTTTGCTCGTCACCATTGCGTAAATCAGTATCCACCTAATTATATAACCGAAAAAACCCCTAAAAGGAGTATTTCAGTAGAGCAGACTTGTTTTAGCCAGCTGCCGCTACATTATCAAACTGTACCCATCCAGCACCACTTTACAGGATATTATCCGCCAAGACCCTCATACACTTTGACGTCGTCGTGTCAAACGGGGCGCCCTCGTCATATATTGCATCATACTAAGAAAACACCTGAGCAATCGGAAGCGCCATATCCTCTCCAGCCCTTCTTTCTTCCCTTCCGTCCTGGTCCCCCTTCATCATATTTTCGTTCTTCTCACTCAGCTCCATCTTCTGCATCCCTCAACCAGTTTACAGGCCAACCAAGCCTTTCTAGGAGCTCAACAGTTTGGTGTTATCCCACACCAAATACAAATGCACATATTCCTTCTGCTTACTGCCCCCCTTATTATCCAAATTCTTACCTTCCAGCTTTAACGCCTTACCCGGAAAGCCGGAATTCCGTTTTGCCTTTATTGCCTGACCCTCGCTTTTTTCCGAGACCGCATTACTTTTATAATTCACCATACGTATCCCCGTCGTTGGGCGCGAGCACGAGCCCATATTTTCGTCCCTCAAATGAACGAAAGAGTCAAATAAAGTATGGGCAAAAAATTCATCAAGCTTATAAAACTACTCCTCAAGAAGACCAACCGAAAGTTTTCCAAGTTATAGAAGAAGAAATATATTCAAGTCCTGCTTCTAAGTCTTAGCCAATTTATATATTTTGTTAACTAGGGTATATTTGCACGGAATTTTTAGTTTTCTATCTATTTTTTCTTAGACTATAGTTTAAATTTCGCTACCAGCGGCTGTGTTTTACTGTTTAATAGTTAAATTGATGTTTTTTAGGGCTATAAAGACTGCTATTAGTTTCTAAGTATTAATTATAAAATATTAGAAGTTTACTGCATTTAATTTTTTTTGTGGTTTAAGTTAAGAAAATTAAATTTATTATGAATACTCAAAGAATTGAGCGATTTTAGACATTAAACAAATTAAAATCATATCAGATTTTATATGCATTGCTGCTTATTATAATATTTAATATATTTGAACAATTACTATAAATTTTATAAAGATAGTTATAAAATTAACTTCGAATAGTTATATATTAACTATTTTTTTTCATATATTCATTAGATTTTCTCTAAATTTGATGCTTTAAAAATTAATAAAATTTTACTAATGAAGTAATTGTTAAGAAATAAGATGAATTTAATGTGACGTTCCTATTTGTCTCAAGGAACCCTCGCAATAGGCTTCCTTTTCTTCACAGCTCGGCTTGCAGGAATTATTTTTTTTATAAAAGTTGAATTTGTAAAAAAAAAATGATAGGATCAAGCTACACAGCTACTACAAAATATATTATAAATTGTACAAAATTGAGTAGTATGCACTCGATTATAAAGAGCAATTGTACACATCATTTGTAATAAGTTTATTTTTCAACGTACTACCTTAAGTTTGCATGTTAATTCTCTAATTCGCTAGATCTACAACGCCAATTCTCAATTCTGGCATGGTAGTTCCAGAGGCTGGGTGCTTTACCATTTTTGTGTTGAACCTTTGTGGTAAAAATCCTTCAGCCATATTTAATTGAGTCTAATATTTTTTGTGAGTGCTCAGTAGGGCTGCATGATTTGATAAGTGACTTCCTCCCCCTTCCTAAGGTGGTCGTTTATTGTTTTATATTCGGTCCAGCGCTACCGAAGAAATTAATTTGCTGTCAAGTATCGTATCTAAGAACAATAAAATATAAGGTATGTCATGTGATTATTTATAAATGCTGGAGGATGTGTAGAATTTATATTTTATTAAATAATTTTGATTTCTCTCTCCATCCTCTTGGAGGGGGGCGCCCATTTTTTGTTGTAGTAAAAAAAATATCGGATATTTCAAAGCCTTATACTGAGATCTTGCGTTATTGTAGTTCTTGACGGAGAGGCTGTTCTTATTAAATTAACATGGCCTTGATTATACATTTGCATCCTCGCGAGTCATAATTGAGTATGGTATACATTATTGAGCTTGTTCAGTCATTAAATATTAATTCAAAAAGCATCGCGTTGTAGCCCTCTGCAGCAGTAATACTTAAAAAGGAGTACTAGCACAGTACCCTATAGTTTCTGCCCCTATCCGATAAGTAATTTATGGTCATCTACTGCTTACTCGGCTAACAGACTCCAGCATGCCATCAGAGTATGATGGCTGTGTTGTTTAGTATTATGCACCGCTAGTGACCAAGAGGCCTGATGAGCTCTGGTAGAAGTAAGAAAAGTTCCTAGCAGAGCAAACTAATGGAAGTTACAAACTAAGAGGAAGTATCTCAAACCTTGACCTTCGATATTGACGGAATCTGCTAGCAGTCGCGTCGAGATACAATTGTAGGTGCTAACTTAGTAAAATAGGGAACTTTAACGATGAATAGATCATATTATCGGCGAAATGGCGAACACCATGTGAGGGTGGGCTGGGAAAAGAATGTCGCTCTTACAAAACGCGAACAGCAGCGATGATAGAAGAGAAAGATTTGCGGGGCTCCAATTGTGAGATAACGGATGGGACGATAGTGCAGCAGCCTGCTCGCACGTTAAAGACCTTGCCATTTAGGTACGACTTGAGTGTTTCTTTAAGGCCGCGCGGTATTGCCAGAATATGTAGCTTGCTTGACAAGGCCACCATGCCATTACTCGACCAGAAGCTTTCTTAACATTGAGAAAGACAGCACCGGTGGCTTCCTTAAAATCAGATGCTCTGGTCGTCCACACGGTTAAGCGAGAAATTGGTCGGGTCTTTGAGTGGCCCTTGCACAATCCAAGCTGAGACTCTTGTAAAATCCCATGAGCGGCCACAACCGCCTTTAAACGATTAAGTAACACTGCTTTGGCTATTTTACCAACTGCCGACAAAAGGCTGAAGGGTGGACAGTTGAGAGGCTTTGATGCCAGGTTGCAATATCTCCGGTAACCTCACGACCACCGCCATTTTCCCTCGCCCGGGAAAATAGTTGAAGGTTGACACCGAGTTGACGAGGTTGCATAGACAATTTGTAGCCGCCTATGGTAGTCTTTTTAAAGGCAGGTTAGTGAGGGTGTCCCGGCCGGGCGTCTTTCGCTTCGGTAGCAATTTGACAATTGATTTGATCTCAACTGGTGCCTACAGCTCCAGAGAATTAGTTGTATTGGTCGAGATAAGATTAGGCATATGGGGGGCGTTATCGACGGTTTAAAGGGGAAAGACGGTGAACACTAAGCAGCTAAATGATCAGCATAAAGTTTTGCCTTGGTCTTTATTGCTTTCGGTTACGGTAGCGCCGTTGCGAAGTGGTGGTCGAGTTGGATGCCCGCGCTTGCTGACTCCTGACAAATTCCTAGGGAGATGTTGCCAATGCCACCGGCATCCTGTACTTCGTTTGATTTTACTATCCCATTGGCAGTTTATAGGCGCCATCAGCTTTTTTCCTAATGTGCTGGTGTTTGCTTTCTACGCGTTGAAAGGTCATGACTAACTCGGATGATAGCCAATGCTCGCATATTGATACCTTAGTTCCCCAGGAAGGGTTAATAGGGCGGTACACCACTTCACGTGTCGGCGTTGTTTTGCTGAGTTTCTGTCACCGCGCGCTCAGTTTCGACAACGGCCCGGTATATTTTAGCGGGAGTTTAAGTGGTATTGGGTACGGTGGGAGCGCCTTCGCGAGCAGTTGGGTAAATTTTTGTTCTAATTCTTATATGATTAGGAGTAGGTCTTTATTGCTTCCTTTACGTCGCCCAAACCGAGCAGGACAGGCAGGCGACCCAACGACAACCCATTCAGCGGCTCAATGGCCGTTGAAGGTATATATTTTTTAACACGGTGATACCCAGCAGTTTCATTGTGACGTCTTCCTCGTCACGTGTGTTGGCAGCCGTGTCCTAAGTCTTTTAACCCGCGTTTCTCAGCGAAAGATCCGGTTCTTGCATCCGTTCCGGTTTGCGATCCGGCTGTTACTTGCAAGATGTTTATTTAAAACCCCGCGTAGAATGGCAGAAAAGTTACACACTAGAAGAGAGTCAAGCTTGAAAGTGATTGCTTGGCTGGGCGGTTTATAGATTGCAATCTCAGTCATGAACCCACGTGTCTAGCTAGTTTAAAGGTTATACCAACCGCCTCCGATCCTTGCAGACTTGATAATGAGGTTTAATTGGGTTGGATGCTCCAAATGATCAGGATAGCTACTCCTCTACCACTGGCGTACCATATATCCTAGCAATACTTCGTAAAGTTGCAGATTATACATAGGACATTTGAAGAGCTGTCTAGGGATTCGTCCTCAAAATAACTAACAGTCGCCGTAAAGTGGGTCACGATCGCTATTCTTTTTTATTAACTAAGTCTGCATTATCAATATGATTAAGACTATTCGCAGGGGGCGCTTAGTATCAGGGTTTATAAGGCCGAGGTTAAATATGCGATCATCAAAGGTCGAAAAAGAGAGCCGGGTCGGTGGGAGCCGAACCCACAACCTTAAGTATGCGCGTCAATGCTCTTAACCACTGAATTACGATAACAACTCTTAATTCTAATATATGAAGGTTATTTCGTATTTAACCTGTTACTTAGTGCGGGCTCGCTCTCAGGATACAGTTGGGGTGTTAGCAGTTCTAGTATGAAAATGTATCGCGTAAAGTTTCGGCTGTTAACAGTTTCCGCAAGTAATATTTGCAGCCTCTGAAGTTGGCGGTATGAGTCCCACCGCATTTGACGCGCCGAGATACCGCAGCGGAAAAAGCTTGCAGCGTAGTCGAAGATCTGACAGCGGTGGCACTGGTCAACGTGATTAGTTTTTCGAAGTTCCACTTTTACTTGATAGGAAATGGCCTTCGAAGCTAATTGCTTTGGTTGTTCGGTTCTGGTATATGCACCAGCATTAATGGCAATGGACAATTCTTCCATTCAGGCATTAACAGTGTCCTCCAGGTGGACGGTGCCACTTAGAGGGGTGTGATACCTATCGCGGAGGTCTCACCGGTATTGAAAATGTCAAGCTCACGACAAATTCTACGGATAACAAAAATGGCTTGTCTTTAAGAAATTAATAGATGAAAAGTTTTAATTCCTAATTGTGCATGATCGCTGTGAATAGCGCGGTATTCTCTGGTCGTTTTTGAATATAATTTTATTCCAAGACCAGTATCTCTTGATTTCAGGATCAATGCGGGGTTGGATTGCAAGAGTTGTATAATATTGATGATATAGTAATAAATATGATATTTTTAGATCCAATAACTTTTAAATTAAAGTAATAATTTCTTGAAAACCAAAGTTTGATTGCTTTTTATTTTAACTGATAACTTAAAGACGGTGCGTTTATTGGGCAGAACATAGAAGGTAAACTATTAATTGAACTGGTTCTATGTTATATATATACCTAATTTTTAAAGATAAACTCTATTTTAATTTTTTTTAATACTATTATTATTTAATATTTGATTGTTGTTGTTAAAACTTTCTTTGTATAATTTGCTTAGTAGCCAGTAAGCAAAATGTGAAATTTACGACTCTTCAAAAGGTTTGGTTTTACTCCCTACTTTTATTTTGTACGAGAAAAGTATTAAGCAGTAAATAGTTGCTATCATATCGACTGTAAATTTTCCGTAATAATTATATAATAAATAAACTAGAGTCCGCTTTATCTTTACGACTCTCGGCGCCTTCTATGAGAGAGCGTTAAAGGGTGTTAAGCTCAAATTTAAAAAAGGCAAAAACTACACGGTTCACGACGATTACTATCACAATAATAGTAATAGTAAAAATATTAGTAAATATTATATTTGTAATTTTGATAGCTTAAGTAAAAAAATATTAATTACCATTACAATTCAATTTCTTCTACTATCTATTTACCGACCCTTATTTACAGGGGGAATAAGTATTAAGCAGTAAAAAGGCTGTTAAACTTTACCGTAGCACGCCAATTCAATGCAAATAATTGAAAAAAAGAATATAGGACACTACACTTATCTTGTTATAAATTTTCAGCACAATTAATTAATAGGTTAATACTAAGTCCCATAATATTGCTTTGTCAAGTTTACTTCAACTGTCACAACCCAAGGTATTTAAATATTGTAAAAAGGTAATGAACGTCTTAAAATAAGAATTCACGTAGAAAAAAAAAGAGAGCGCTCTCTAAGATAATATATTATAAGCAATTAAAAGTTTAACGACAAGTCTTTTTTAACCCAAATTTTACGGCGTACAAAGAGTTGCGAATAAAAATAGTTTGTTGTGATCTTCAAAAAAAATATGTCTGGATGTAATATAATTAGACAATTTATGAAAAGTGAGCAAGAAGACCGAAGAAAAAGGAGTGCGTTATCCTATTCACCTTTGAGAAATTGTGTTGAATAAATATTTTCTACATAGATTTAAGCTTAAATAATATTTAAATTCACATAATTTAAATTCGTGCTTTACAAATAGTAGAAGTATTTCTTAACAAAGATTGATAAAAAAACGAAATTCTTAAAACGAATTCTTTTAAATTCGCGTCAGAAATTTCTTAGTATAATTTAAGCTCAGTCCATAATATTTATTATAACATATTTTAAATAACAGCTAGAAAAATGCTTACGCGGTTTGAGTTTTTTTTTTAGATTTTTATAATCATGTGACAGCAACAGTGTATGAGTAACGCCACATACATAAGCATATATTCGTTCATATCGCAAAAAAAAAAAAACTCTTATGGATTTATTAAAGCTGTTTACAACACCAGCAACTGGTCAGTGATTGATCTATTGTTTCCCTAAAATTTGTTTCGTATATTCTATATGTACGTAATTAGTAATAGTTTTATCAATAGCCCAATAAAATCAGAGTTTCATAGATATAAAGCGAAGCCCCTCAGAAACAGCGTTAATGTAATTCGGGATTCCAAAAGTAGTTTATAAATTAAATAAAGCTTTTTATATATAAAATTGATGACTTAAAATCGGTGTGAGTAACAAAACTTATTTAACCTTAAAAAATAAAAACCTTAGTCAACTTTCTGCTTTAAGTGAGGATACGGCCCGTCACACCAGATAAAGGCATGTCACAGGATTATTTTCTTTCTAAATATATCCGTAATTCATGTAAAAATAATGTTATATAACTACCCCTTGTCTATAATATGAATATATATTAGCATTTTGATAGATAATATTTACAACTACAACATAATTGGGTAAAGAAAATAGAAATTTAATTTGGTTACTTAGATATAAAAACAAAGTCATTTTAAACATTATTATCAGAGATCTTGGTGATAATTTGCATAAACATCAGCATCTCAGTAATGCATAAAGATCTCATCATTTATTCTCAAAACCAATAATATTTTTTAAAATGCCTACACAAAACTAAGGAGGAAGAAAAAAACAAAAGAAATATTTTATATAAGATATGAATAATATTTATACGTACGCTTAACAATATTAACGTCTAAGCAACTAACCGGGAGTGACACCGGTATATTTCAAGTTGACCGTGAATTCTTATGAGACATACTTATTGTCTCGTCTTAAGAGAGACAAAAAAACGTAAATATTTTTTTAAAGGCTAAACTAAGAAATAGTCGGTCAGTTAAGAAAAGCAGCAATGTAGAAGGGGTTAACTTAACAAGTTCGGGAGTTTTCTAGAATATATATTAAAAACAAGGTTATATAATATAATAGTTATAAGTATACCATAGACCTTAATTTATCATAATATCTGTGGTCGAAGAAATAAAGCACCGTAGAAAAAATTTATTTGGTAATAGTGGACCCTCCAGAAGCGCCAAACCAACCCTACGTAAATATAGCGAGGGGATAAAAAAAATAGTAGCAGCGTACGCATGGACTGCATTTATGTAAGCACATGCAGAATTCCATTCCTCATACTACCAACAAAAGGAGAAAAAAACCACCCACTTTGTAAGACGAAAATAAAATTTTTACGTCAATGTGCCAGCCGACCTCCGTAAAATATATAATTCTTCCACAGCATACAATTTGATTTATACAGTTATTTAGGTTTTTGTTACTGTTTGAGTAACCCCTCTGTTTTAAAATTAATTAATCAAATACTTACCACTGCTCTCCTCCAAACGGTGGAAATTAGCAGATGTATTTTTTATACCTAAAACAGGCCCTCTAGTCATTTTACTAAAAATTATCGCCCAATAAGGCTTGTTGTTCTGCCTATATTTTGGTTTTCGAAAAAATTACAGATGCAGGCTTACCGAAGAAGCTAAGAAAACTTTTAACATTACAAAAGTAACAAGTGTGGTCTTTTTAGATATTAAGAAGGTCTTGAAAATATGGCACGATGGTCTAGCCGTTAAAATGATTACCGCCATCTTCCCTTTTAGCTTAAACTGCGGTAGTACATTCACACTTAACGAATAGAACTTTTATTGCTGGAGTAAGTCCGTTGAAGTCCGCTATTAGACAATAAAAAATGGATGTCGCAATGAATCTTTAGGGAAGTTGGGGCTTTAGCACTTTTAATTAATAAATGAAAAGTAAACAAAACGGCAATTCATTATAAATCATGACTGTAGTAAACTAGTGCTATAACTAAATATAAAAATTAACAAAAAAGTAGAGGGTTTATTCCTCTTTTAGTTTTGCTTTTTTTTGTCTTTAGTTTTTTCTGGGTGTTTTACTCATTCCTTTATCGCTACGACAAGGAAATCCTAAAAAGGATCGCATTAGTTGGGTTTAAAGGAAAAACTCGTAGGTACTTATTTGCTCTAAAAGAAAAACCATGTAGATAAATAATATATTAAGTTAAAACCCTATACATAGTTCAACATTAAGCATTTCAACACCACCGTCTCTTAACGCAGCGAACAAGTACCGAAGTTCAAAGCCAAATTTTCTAATAGTTTGAATAATTTATTGCTAACATTGCACAGGTGAAGCTGTTTTTTGTCTCTGCAGAGCTTTGTCAGTTCTTTTAAAACTCAACCCGCGTACCGAAAAAGTTCGACTCAAAAGCATTGCATAGTGGCTTAAAAGGCAAGTAGTTTACTGAGTAGCATCTATACCGTCTTTTGTCACAAGATTCCAGTCTCCTTTAAGGGGATAAATAACTATCGCACATAATTACTGTATCTCTTTATAAAAAGTCTGAAGGAGGCTAGACCGTCATTGCTGACCGAATAGTGGCACAACTTGCTCTTCCATCAGTGGCTGTGGTGTGTCCATTGCTTTATAGTAACGTGTCAGTCAGTGTAGTCGTGTTATCTGTAAACGGGAGATACACTTTCAGTTACTGTGGCTGTAAAGTTTAAACTAACAGACGCCAATTTAACATTTTTTTAAAAAAAAAAACTTTAGCAATCATGCATACAGAAGGAAGCTTTTTAGACTAGAAAGGAATTTTAAAATTATTTAAAACTTTTTAGAGTTATTTAAATTACAATTTTTCTTTTCAAAGAAAATTTCCACTCATTATTAAACATTTTAACTGTTTCCCCGAGGTCACGTATTTTACTAAAGTGCGTTAAATCTCGGTCTATTTCCTACAAAGGTAACGTGACTCAGTTTCCCTGTTTAAGAATTATTTAGGTTTTTCACGGAGAACACTTCTTTCGTTCTTTAACGTTGATCAAGTTTTTTTTTTAAAAAAGTTATATTTTTATTGTTTTTCTGTTTAACTAAGCAATTAAAATATATTATTAGGATTAAGTTTTTTGTTTTATATGTCGCCGGTGGTGCGAATTCCTCGGAATTTTAGATTATTAGAAGAACTTGAAAAAGGTGAAAAGGGTTTTAGTGATGGCTCTGTGAGTTATGGTTTAGATTCTCCCTCTGACACACTTCTCGAAAACTGGTTTTACTTTATTTTTATATAAAATATAAAGAAGTTAATATTTATACAGGACTGGGACTATTGTGGGTCCTTCTAACGTAAGACTTTTATTCTATAAAAAAAAGTATACTTTTATTCTTTCTATCATGTTTATAAGGGAAATTTTGCGAATAGGATTTACAATATAAAAATTTACTGCGGATTAGCGTATCCCGAGGAAGCTCCCACAGTCCATTTTATATCTAAAATTAATCTTCCTTTCGTAGATGATAATGGAAAAGTACAATAGTTATTAGTATAAATAATACTAGTACTTATACTAGATGTATTTTTTTAAGGTACTTCCAGAAAAATTTAAACCTTTGGGCAATTGGAATCCACAGTATACTATAGAAAAAATATTAACATCTTTAAGAAGGTTTTATTACCTATTATTATTACTACTTTATATTGAAGTTATTATAAATTTAGAGATATGGAGAGTAGTCTTTACTCAAATTTAAAACAACCACCGGAATTCGCTACCTATTGAATTCATTTTTAATTTTTTAAGCGTTTTTACTATAAAAATAAAAATAACAGAATAAATATATTTCTGTCTACTAATCATAAAATAATTTTTCCTTTTTTACTTTTTTATTGGCGACTATTTTTGTGATAGTTTTCGTCGTTGCGTTGTTTGTCTTATTTTTTGTTATTTTTTTATTGCACTTGCGCGAGCTGATTATATTTTTAAGGAATTTTTTTTAAACTTTAATTATTTTGCAACTGCTTTACTTATAGTGCATTACATTTCTGAAATGTCTTAGTAAAATTTTTTTTAAAGTGAACAATTGTTTTATAACCGCTTTATTCCAGTAGAATTTATACAATAATTTTGGAATTTAAAAAAAATTAAAAAAAAATTTAAAGCAAAAAAAGGCTTAACGATATGTTAAAAGAATATATATTAAAGAAGTTTGCCTTAAAAGAATTTAGTCGAGTGTAAAGTCTAATTATAGCTGCTTTTAAAAAGTTTCTATAAATTATACAAGTGAGAATTTTTAAAGACGCTTTTATTAACAGTTATTGTTTTGAGTAAATAAAAAAAGCAACTGTTTGAAGTCAGCAATCATATTTAGCGTCGACTATAGCGGAACTCTTTGCTCACCGCACTTACCAAAATAAAGTTAAGTTAATGTAGTTACAATTGGCTTTATTAAAGTTTTTCACCGTTTTTAGGAAGTTTTACCAAATCAACTACAGCAAAGTTAAGTTCAGTAAGGATACTGAAGTGCGTGTATTCCTTAAAATTTTCCCCTTTTTAACAGTCTTTAGATGTGCAATATATAGTGGTATTGTCCATAAGGTTTATTAGTTTACTAGTTTCAAATTTAAACATAAGAAAAAGCATAGTTACCGCGAGGTTCTAGTTGACGTTCATCTTGTAGCGTTTATAGTGATAGTCTACACGGCTCTACATAACCGAGTTGCCATTAAAGCGTTAGTAACCAACTTTGCTCCGAGAGCATAATACGGTTCTTAGATGACACTTCCTGTTTAGTTTTCTACGCCACAGACCTTTTCAGGCCGAGTACTTGGACGGTAATAAATTACTCGCTTCTAAAAACGTAGTAAATGGGATGGGGCTCCTTTTCCATGGTTTTGAAACTCCAGCTTGATTGAAGGGCCTTTAGCTGGGGACTTAGACACATTTATAGAAAATTATCTAATAAACTAGATAACAATCTTATAAGTTCCTACTTTACTAATTATCAGACGTACTACAATGTGTTTTTATTTCTAGTTAGAAGCGGTAAATACAACTTTATTTCTCCCTATTGTAAGTAATCCACTTCTACTTTGGTATGACCTAATAGTATTTATTGTAATTTTATTGAATTACCCTAAGTTATTGGTATCCTTTTAAATTTCGAAAGGTTCTCATAGGGCTTCAAAGCTATCTTTTTCCTGCTTACTAGTGTCTAACAACTAGGAGGAAGTCCAAAAAATAAGTAGCAACGATAGATAATAACACAATGAAAAAAAAAAGGAGTAACAACTTGTCTCACGCTACAACATTTCCTAAGTTAGCCTTTTTTACAACCTAGTTACCGTTGTAATAATCCTATGCCATAAAACTAATAAAAGGTGCTTTTCCTTTGGAACTAGGGAGTTTAATTTCGGTATGATATCCCTCGGGCAGAGTACTTTCTAGACAAAACCCATTTTTGTTATAGTATTAATACCTAGCTGAAACGACACAAACATATAGTGCAATTCTTACTTCCGGTATAATAAAGTCTCTAGAAATCAATTTTAATAAAACGGAAACTCTGGTTTTCAATTTCTCGATGTCGAGCATGGGCTTGAACTGTCAGGTGCTCATACTCCTTCCTTTACCTTCGATCAATGCGAGGTAAGCGAAAGTTATGCTTTAAGCCCCATCTCAGCGGTGCAGGTTGTGGGGCGGTTTAGAGGAAAATGTAGGAGAACAGAAACGAGAAGACGCACAGAAAAACAAGATGCATTTTCATACCTATTCAACAAAAAAAATTAAATAATAAATTTAACTTGATCCAACTATTAATTTATTTGATCCAAATTAACTACAAAAATGGATCAAGAACAAAGCATCATCCTTTGCAAATAATCTAACCCTTACTCTTAACCTTAGTTAACCTAACCCTAAGGATAAATTTTGTAACGTTAAAAAGTTATGCGCAGCGATTAAGATCTTGATCATTTGTTATAAGATCTATCGAACTTAATAATTTAAAAATAATTCGAAAATTCTGTTGAAAAAAGTATGATTAAGCCTATAGTTTACAAACCATACTTACACGTTGTCGAATAAGTTAAAAAGTTAGCATATACCCAAGTCATGTGTCAAAAAAAAAATTGTAAAGAGGCACTTCATCTTGTTTAAGCTGAAAAGTCCAATCTCCAGGAGCGTGCTTAGTACTACTACCACGTACTGTGCTTTGTTTAAATATTTGGATATACTTCACGTTCCCTGCCGCTCGTGTCTCAGAAAAGTCGTCATTTATCAATAAATAAAAATTCTTATACAATAATGCAGTGACCTTCTTTAAGGTTACAAAATCGTTAAGGTCTATAATAAGACTTTATGTAACAACCTATTAAAATGTTCTTGGCTTTTCTTTTTTTTAAGGGTTCTACTTCAATTTCATATAATACATTTATGAAGTTAGGGCACTTGTGTCAAATTTAAGGTGCTCTGTAAACATTTTTAAAAAGAGGGCTAAGGAAGAAATCCAGAGTTCTTCGATCGAGATCCGAAAGAATTTTTTTAAAATGCTTTGGAAGTTTTTTTAAGGTAGTATGGCCGTTCCTCAACCGTTTTATTGGCTTTAAAAAAGCCTTTTTCAACCTTTAAACCCTCTTCGCCTTATTCTTCTTTTCAACTTTATTTATTTATTAACATAATTATTAATATTTACCATCTGTTAAACTAAAAAGCTTAATAGTTGAGCTTTTTAGCCGTTCAAACAGTACTTTTGCGACAACATTCAACCCACAAGCTGGAAGGGTTGCACTGTTTGGCTTATTAATTTCTTGACACAGCGGATGTGGCTAAAGACATAAAAGGGATTAATAAAACTTTATTAACGGCCTTTCTTTTATAAAGACTGCAAACTTTTTATACACAAATTAAGTTAAAAAAGTTGTCAGTTGTAAAATGGGTGCGAGTAAAGATTAAGAGTTTAAGACAACCTGATTACGAATAGAAGTTTGTTAAAAAAATATTGTGCCAACAAAAAAAACTGATTAGTTCTTATTCACTTTACTTTTTAGTATGCGCCTTACACGTAGCGGAGTTTATTTAAAATATATGTGTATACAGAATTCGACTGACGGCTTTAATGTTTACAAGTTTGTACCGTAATTTTTTCAAATGTACAGTTGTTTTAAAAAAATATATTTTGAAGGTGCCTATTGTTAAAAATGATAATAAACTACTTAAAAAACTTTTACTTTATATAATTAAGTTTTCGTTATTAATTCCTTTAAAAATTCAGAAAGCGAAAATAGACACTTTATAATTATTTTTAAAACGATTACAAAATTATATATTAAAAAATTTTTTATTTTTTTTATATTAAGGATCGAGCTGCATTGGTAATCCCGCGTGGTCGACTAATTCTTCTTCCGCAGTTCCATTAACAATATTATAATTGGCGGTCTCCAGATTTTCCTGAATCATTGTATTATTTTCGGAGTTAGCGGGATTCACCTCGCTTTCAACTTTAGAGTCCACAGTTAAATTAATCTGCGCTACCTACAGTAGTAATGATGGCCGCACTTAATAATAAAAGAAAATAGTTAAGACAACTTTCTCAAGTCCCTTTAAGAATTTAAAGACATCTTTATAACAGTGTTTCGGATTTAATAGTAGTTCGCATATGCGTTGTATAGTAAAAGGAACTCTACGAAAAAAAGGAAACGGCTTAAGATCAAAAAAACTTTGTTGCTCTTTTTTTTTTAAAAAAGATTTTTTCTACTTTAACACTCGTCAGTAAAGCGTAATGAAGGATTGCCCTGACGACCTTTAAAGAAGCGCTAGACTCACATTATTCTTCAATTTTAAATTTAAAAACTCACTTTGTATCCGGTTTAAGGTAATTAAAAAGTTACATACGCTGTACGCTCAAGAAAAATATGGCAGAGTTTTTCTACTTGGTCGTTCAACTGAACCTCAGCTTCGCCAGATAAAGTGCCAAAAGTTGTAACAGTCTCCAAAAAAAAATAAAAATTGGTACAATAAACTATATAAATTGTTTATGTTTAAAATTAACTTGTTTAAGCTTCTGGCATATTAGAACTGAAAGAGAGCTCCAAGGCAAACTGCAAAGATGAGGACCAATTGTTTTTCCAATGGAAACGCTACTATGTTACTGTAAGCAAAGTAACCTTACAGTGCACGTCTTAGAGATTTCCTCCAACTCTTGTTGATCTATTAATTAACAACTTTTAAAGTAAGAAAGTTTTAAGTAAAAAAGAAATAATATAATACCCAAACAATTCGGAGCATGTACATTGCATACATCCATTATTTATAGTAAATAGGATGAAAGGCCGACTTCGTACTCTGCCAGTCGTTCCATGCGAAAAGAAAGAAGGACCACACTTAGTGAAATTTATGCTACCCAACGACACGTAGCATTTCTGACTCTAGAGACGCTCCCTAAGGGTTCGAAATTTCCCAAGCAGCAGCCGAGAAATACCTAACTATAACGGTTGCTTATGCGAGGCAGAACATTTTAGCACTCTACTTACTTTAATATGTTGCGCTCTAAACGTTTTGACAGATAAGCCCGACTTGCGCGCATTAGATATCACGTCTCTCCTTGAGGCACTGATGCACTTGGCGGCCGTCTCTCAAATGCAAATTCCTGAAAATTCTACCGTTGTCAGGCCTTCGGGTACAGTGCCAAGCACCAACGCTACTACCCTTTGTTGCGATAATTAGGGTAAAAGCTACTTCACAGCGCTGTGTACTAAATTATTAGGGTTTTTGTTAAATGTGCGGATTGAGGTGAGGCGCATATTGCAAATTGTCGCAGCTAAAAAATTACTCTCGAAGGCCTATACAATACCCAATAAAACTTTTATACTTAAAGTCCACTTCTAAGTTAACTTAAACGACCTAGAATACCCCTCTCCAAGGCACAAGACAACTCCTCAGCCACCAATATTGACAAAAAGCTATCAACGATGTTTGAAACTATTGATTTAGAACCCCTCTCCAATCCCAGCAGGCTTTGATTCAGCGCGAATTAATCGACCAGAGTTCTGCAACTTTCCACGTACCTCCAGGAAGGACTCAAAAAAGCGAAGGAGGCGCAGTTTATTGGCCAGTCGTAACATCTAAACCAATGCTACATCTAGGTCGATGAAAGATGGCTCAGTTGTACTGCTTTCAAGGAGATCGAGATCAGACTTTACGCCAAAAATAGTTTCTGGATATCAGCCTCTTGTCAGCAGTGGGCATAGCAGTTGAATATTTATATTTATTTCTATGTAGTCATTAATTTTTCTTCTTCATCAAATAGGTTTATCTTTAAATAGTTACTTTTAACTTTAATTTTATCTGAGTTTGATCTTATTTAATTATATCAGATTTGTTTTATATATATAATGAAAAACTAAACAAGGTTAAATGTTAATTTTATTAATATTTCAATAAATTAGATTTAAATTTACTTTAATTATATTTTATTTAAATTTTATTGTGAAGGTCAAACAAGTAAACAGTCGATTGTGTTTGTGTGGTATTGCTATAAATTATTTATAAAATTAATATTTATATATTAGTCAGTATTTTTTTCTGATTTAGTTAAATTATTCATAATATATATATATATATCACCGCTTAAAACCGCGCTCAAAGTTCCAGTTCGTATTTCAGCAAGGGCATTCAACGACGCAACTCCCAATTTTTTTAGAGTCGTGCTACTAATCTCAAGAAGGCAACGAGTGGCAGCTTTGAATGTCACCATGCGCGTCCACGAATAGCATACCCTGGATATAAATAGAATATAAATAGAGACAGCACCCACCCCTTTGGGAAGGAGGGGGGAAGAAATTAAATTTTTTCTGCTCTTTGTTTCCTGCGTGGAGCGCGTTTGTGATACATGGGGTTACCTATATACCGCGTTACACATATAATTTATCTGAGAAATTTATTTATACATCCATTCCTACCTTGGGTTAAATATATCTACGCTTCTGTAGCCACTATCCGCGAGAGTGCCATTCTAGGATTGGCACTCTATGAAGTAATCTAACAGGTGAATAATTTATGGTCAAGTTTCTTCAATAATTAACCTTGCACTTGTATTACAATGGGAGACAATCTTGAGGGAAACTTTATTAATATTAGCTAGCTAAGAAATATATGGCCGTATTAATAATTATTTTTTACCACTTCGCCCACTTAACCAAATTGAAAGTCATATAAATATATCCAGTCCTAATTCTTTTACCCGGTTGAGGATTATAATGGAAATATGAAATACTTGTATCCTAACAATAATTTAACGATATATTCTTTTTCAAATAATAGGGTTTTTTGATTAATTATTAAGGAAATTTAAAATTTTATTATTAGGGCAACGTCGTCCTTTAGAAACTTGTGGAGAACTTGGGGAAACTTCTTGCACTATAAATGATAATGGAGGAAAGTGAACTGAAAAGACCTTATTAAGAACCAATTATATAGTTTGCATGTGTAGTTGAAGAGGTTTGTGGCCAAGTTTTCATTTCTCTGCCGTTGCAAATACTCTTCTTAGATAGGTATCTTTAGTAGACACGCAATTATAAATTTAAATAAGAAAAGGTGTAAGAAGTCCCCCAATACTTTATCAAAAAATGCTAAGGCAAGTCCACCAATTATAAATATTGTTTTCAAAAGCAGTTAAAAAAGTTTTTTAGGTGAGCTGTTTTAGAGAGGGATGTTCACAGAACGAAAAGTAGAGATTTCACACAAAACGATGATGTTCATCTTACATTGCCTTTCTATTTTATTTTTGACTACGGCTGAAGTTTTTTATTTGTATCAAAGTGACAAAGAACAAGGTAAGAAATAAGAAAAATTAAGGGAATTTCAGTTTAATTATAATCTGCAAAAAGGTCTTCGAAGGAAGAGTCACGAGTAAAATTTAATTGTCGTCTTTTATAATAATTTATTATTTTATGCTTTTACTAAAATACTTACTTGGAGAAAGACATCATTTTCATCGTTCACACTAGGACTTCTGCAGGCAATATTATTTTAAGGTAAAAAAGAGTTGAAAGCATAAATAGTTAGCACTAAATGTGGGGTTCTTTTCAAATAAATGTTTATAGATGCATGAGTGTAAATGCAAGGTGTTTTTACTATACTAAACTATACTTGACGTCAGCTGATATATATAATCTCGTATGGCGCACGCTAGATTAAAGTAAACCTCCGTTGTCGCCTAAATTCAGACTTTACAACGAATTTCTGTAAGCCTTTACGATAAATTATTATACTACCTAAACAGTTTATAAATTTTATTTTACTTAAGCAAAATCATAAAAACGGTGTAAGCAAGCGTGGGTTCTTTATTCTTTCCTCCTAGCCCTGAAAGTACTGTGTTAAACCAAAACAACTTTATTTTTTATTAAAGTTTTCGTTAAATTAAATGTTTTTGGAGCGCTGATGCAGTTTCATTTTTATATACTATACTTATAATGGATACTTAAGAAACTAAGAAGTCACCCAGCAAAGAATCATCCTATAATAAATTAAAGATTAACAAATCTATTTTTGTTTATAAAAATTTTACAGACCTTAAGAAAACCAATATCACATTTTGAATTTTCCCCAACTAGTGAAAATAAAGGAGCACTCGAATCTGCGAATAACTACAACCAAAAGTTAAAGATTATAGTTTTAAGTTTTTCTTAAAAGACAGTAATATGATGTATATTAATAGATAAGCTATATTTTAATTATTTTTTCAGTCCCTGTTGTAACTCTACTCTGAAAAATACTTGAATATAAGCAACCAGCGTGGGCGTTTCTTCCCATAATAGATAGAAATACTTTTTTTTTTAAAATAAAGATACCAAGAAACCTTTTGTTAAGCCTATTAAGAAAAGTATTTTACTACAAATAAGCCAGTTGAAAAGCTTTAAGTAAGCGGGTTGCCTTCAAACGGTAAGATACACTTTGGGCTATCTGAGCACTTCCTAACTACTAACTATGCACTTAATCGCAAAAGCCCTTTTTTTATAAGATAGAAGTCTGATACACCTTCCAAAGATGAGTAAAAAAGCCTTCAAGTTCTTCTACGTTTGAAAAATAAAATCCAAAGGAGACGGATGGATTTAACTGCTTTAATTTTAACTTGCGGATACGAGAACTTATATAGCTCTAAAAAGTTTTTTTCTTATAACCTTTTTAAAGTAACTCTATTAACTGTTACGCTAGAGTCTATTTCCCCGTGCACGGAAATCTCAGCCACAGGTTGTGTTTTGTGGGGATCCAAATACAGAAGTTGGTTGCCTGCGGTTATTATAAAATAACTATGTACATTGGTCGCTACATAGTACACAACCTTCAAATCCGATAAAATACAAAGCAGACCTCGGCTTCCCCCCTATGAAACCCAGCGAACAAGAACATTTAAGTATTTCCTGCTTGGCAAGTCGACCAAATTATTTTTTAAAAAATATGGGTTAAAAACCACTTTACTTTTAATATATATAGCAGACAAGCATTGGTAGTGTAGTCGAAATTACTATAAAAGTAAACATTTTGAAATTAAGAGAAGAGAAGATTTTCACCTTCATTTGCTCAAAGTAAACTTTGTTGATAGTTTTAACGCCCAGTCGTACGGGTACAAAAAGTATTAAACCTACTTCTACAAAATATTTTTATAGATTTTTATATCGATTGAGATAATGGAAGACTAACTATTTTCCGTTAAGTTTGTTGCTTCCATTGCCGTATTTAACAATTTTAAATTTTCTTTTTGAGAAATATAATATGTATCTTTTTTGAAAATAAATCCCAGCGGATGCCAAGAGGTTTTCTGCTTGTTACTTTTATTAGCGTTTGAATCCACACAGCACTTTTTTTGCTTGCTAGCATTTCTGTTCCTATAGAGGATTCCCACTTTGTCTCTAAGCACAGTTTTACACACCACCCCTATTATAGTAGTTTTAAGTATTAACTGAATAGAGTTGAAATAATTGTTGATAGTAATTTAGGTATACAAAACGTAAATTATTATATTCAATTAAAAGAATAAAATTTTTTAACTTTTTTAAACGTTTAAATTACCGTTCATCGCGACATGAACGTTAATAGAAGTAATAGTTTCGTTTAATGACTCGGTAATTAACCTTTTTATAAAATTTTATTAATATATTAAAGGAGAGACTTAAATATAATACTTAATGACTTGACAAGTTAATGCAGGCCCAAACCATTCCCCTGCAAAGATCCCTAATTCCTTTCCTTTTAACGTTAGATTTTGTATAGAGTAAGGAAACTCCGAAGCATCATAAAAAAGTCCTAAAATCTGAATTTATTGTAATGGTTAAACAAAAGCAGAACATAATCGCCAGCACAATAAATATTTAAAAGATAGTAAATGCAAATTTAATGTTTGTTCTTTAAAATTCATTACATGGAATAATAGAATTTAACAAACTAGAGTAAGAAAGTAATTTTACCGGAAGGCTTGTGATATGAAAACTATTTACGAACTTTCAAATCAACTAACAATAAGGTGAAGCTAATCTCAAGTTCATCGGAACAGCTTGGACCGAAAGTCCTTAATCTACTAAAACACTGCTTATGCCGCATTTTACCGGAGGGCTCTCTACCCCGGCAGTTCCGTAGCCTGAAAGCGGTAGGAACTTTGCCTATGAACGCACGCCACCTAGTCGGCTGAGCTGGAAAAACCACAAAGAACCGCAAAGAAGAGAACAACGGGGAGATAGCAGAAACCTGGAGATTTAGCAATAAACTACAAATTTTTGGTTGAACTTTTAATATGTTTACTACGAATAAGGTAAGCGTAGCTAACTACCAATTAAAATGAATATGAGAAAGTAGTATATCTCAAAACTTTGTTAAGACGAGGATCTGAATGCGCGTTTGTTCTCCTCCAATCTATTTAAAGCATGTAATAATAATTAAATTGTCGTCTTTGGCGTGCACTTAGGCTACGAGAAGGAAACTAAAGAGCCTTAAAAAGAATATCTAAGTGGAAAGTACCTCGGCCTAAATAATGGCGAACAAGTCCTTCCGCAAAAATCATCTGCCCGCACCTTAACATACAGCCCCATCCAGAATCTGAAGAAAATGAGGTCCCGGGTATCGTCAGAAAGTGGCTTCGATATGTGCACCACACCCTTGATATGATATCATGGTGGTAATTATGTTGTTCCTGGTCTTAAAGAAAAAATTTAACCTTTTATTAATACAATAACTCCTATGGATAAAAGTGAATAAAGTAGCTATTGAATACCTCTGCTTAGATCGTATAAGCGTCCCATGATGCAAACTAAAGAGATTCTAGCAGACATAACGATGGAAATTGATGTACTTTTGAAAAATTAAGGCGACTTGAATTTTTATTTATATTACAAAACTTATATTTTGTAAACCTTTATTTAAACGTCGTCGCAAGGATCTAAAGTTTAACTAGGTACTTTTAATTCACTACTAAGTAAACTTAGGAGTCCAGCATTTAGCTCATACCATTCATTATATTATTAACTCCTAATTTGTATATTTTTTAACTCTCTAGTTGGTCAATAAATATTTCAAGTATATTTATAAGTAGTACCTCATTTACTATATTAAGTAATGCAAAAGGGTAGAGCCTAAATAGGTCAAAGCAGATTACAAATTTATTTAGGTTAGTGCATGTCTTTTCTCCTTCATGAAAAACTTTTTTAATTTACTTTTTAAATAGTAACTAAAAAAACGTATATGGTTACAAATTATTTAATTATTTTTTAATTATTTTTTAGTAATATTAATTGTTCAGTATCCTGATTTTATAATTAGTATAAAAAAATACTTTTCTTTTATTGCTTAAATCCCAAATAATTTTAATATTATCTAAAAACTCTGTAGCTTATGTTAAATGCCCTTATTATTTGATAAAAGCGCTTATAAACAATAATTACAAGTTAATCTACAATTTTCCGTTATCGACGAAAATACTATAAATGTAAAACGCCTTTCTGTCAACCCCGAAGTTGTTGACATTCATATAAAAAATAAACTTTTTAAAGCGTTCAAATACTTTGATTTCTTCTAGGAACTTGTAATTTAACGTAATTAAGTTATTAAATTCAGTAAACCCAAGAGAACACAAAGATAAAAATATGAAGACGCTTAAAGAGAGCTTATCTCATAAAACTTTTCTTAAGGCGGAAGAGAAAAAATATTGTTAGAAGGTAATCGCATCACCTTCAGAGCTCGTTGGTATTTTAGCAAATTGATTTAAATATTCCTTTGTATATATTAATATGATGTACAGCTAATACCACAAAAAAAAGTTTAAGCAACTCATTTATTTTCTATTGTTTAAATATAATACTACTTCTGGCTTTTAACTTTCAGCATTGTTGCTTTTAGGAGACATATTTACGCAAAGTTTAACAAAGAAATTTTTATAAAAACCGTAATAACTTTACTTTATAAAACTTATTAACCTTACAAGCTAATTTTTTGGTTGAAAAGCTTAGTATTTTTAGTTTGTGGTAGCATAAAATTTCTTTGTCCTGGTGATCTTTTAAGTTTGCGTGAATCCATCCGTAGCGTATTTTTCTTATTATAATTAAAGGATATAAATTTTTAAAATTCATTTTAATTATTGATCTTAAAATATTATAACTATTAAATTCGCAGCTTGTTAGCTAGCGGACAATCCGAAAATAATAAGAACCCTAAAAGGAAACCTGGGGTTTTACCTATTAAAGGTATTGAATTAGATGCTACTCTTTTTAATGGTTGAGACCTATAGACAGTGACTAATAAAGTGAATTAATAATTAGATAACAAAGACTATTTATAAACCATCCCTGGGGTACTACAAACTTCGGCAGAAACAGCAAGACTAACTGCTTTGCAATTGAGGGAATTGACGAAAGTCAGAGGAAAAGAAAAGTCCGCCCCCTCGCAACCAAATGCCTTTACATTACCAATGACTTCTAAAGAAACCGGTCATTTACTTAAAAGGAAGTTTATAGTCTATAACCAGCTCACTATAATAGTTATAGAAAATTCTTAACTAAAGTAAAAAAAAAATTATGAAGCTACCCTAAGCCATATAGTTGCTAATGTGCTAAAAATAGTTAAACTTTAATAAGAGTACAAGGGGTTAAAGTATGATATATTCAATTACAATCTATCAACAATCAAAGTTTGAAACCTGGATAAAAAAAATTAAAGAAAACTCTAGTATAACATTTCACACTATAGTCACATTAAGAAAAAATTATAATGGCAATGACAAAAATTAAAGTAGAACTAAGATAGAAGCTTAGAAGTACATTTAACCATGAAATTATGCTAGAAAATAATACAATAGTAGACAAATTTTAATAGACAATTATAAATTAGTGAACAAGAGCTAAGATAGTACACATTACCATAAAATATTACACTTGTAAATACTACGAAAGCATTTTACTAAAATAAAATATGCTGGAGGCTCACCAGTATTACTCCGACTTAGAATGATATAAAATCTCTAACAGAAAACTTAAAAATCACACATGCAGGTACGATTATATACTGTAGATAATTCAAGATAATTAAATTAAAAGTATAATATATATAAGTATAAAAATTAGGCATATTAAAATATATTAAAGTAAGAAAATAATTAAATATATTAATTATTTGCATTTAATTTTAGTAAACACTATAGGTCTCCAATTTAATTCACTAGAGGTTGGCACAGCCCCACCTGACTGAAAAGAAGGTCACGTTATTTATAAAATTACAATTTCTGGTGAATGCGTGTTAAATCTATCTTTTTTGCTTTTGTTTTGCGTTAGTAGTACTCCACGGCTCATGCAGTTTTTTAAGCAAGTTGCAGTGAATCTAAGACTTACTAAGTATGCGTTTATAAGGACCCTTACTGCTAAGCAAAATTTAAAAGCCGTTTGCGAAACCTCTGCTGGTGAGCAATAGGGCTTTACAATTTGTATACTTAAGCGCTCTTACTTATTTATTACTGTTACAGGAACTTTTGTATTAGAACTTTTTTCAAAAATGCTCCCCATAACAGTTGGTAGCTTCATTGATCTCTCTCGAAAAGGCTTTTATGATGGCTTGCACTTGTAATACTAAAAGTTCTATGAAATTTACATACCTTTTTTACGGCTTCCTCTTTTTTTTATCGAACTAATATAATATATTATCAGCCATCGTGTAATCAAAGACTTTATGATTCAGTTTGGTTGTCCTTATTCTAAAGATCCTTTTTCACATATGGTAGGAACTGGTAATAAAGCACCGGTCTTTAATTTCTAAGTAAAACTCTTTTTTCTAACTATTTCTGAATTTAACTTTTCTTTTGGAGAGGCGGGCCGACACCATTTAGTACCTTCCAAAGTTGTGATGGTTCGTCTTGTGTTAGGGATTCGTACGGAAACATAATAGATGAGTGGATTCATAAAATAAGCAATACTCCCGGCACTGTGTCGATGGCTAATACTGGTTATTTTTTTTTTGTTTTTTGCTTAAACTTGAGTCTGGGATTAAAAAACTTATTTATATAGGAAAGAAAAATACAAGCGGTTCGCAATTTTTTATAAACGTTGCGGACAACACTTTCTTGGATTACTGGAGACCGACTCCCAGCGGACATCCAGTCTTTGGTGAAGTTATATCTGGAATGGACGTAATTAATAATATCAGTCGTGTAAAGACTAATATAAATGATGCTCCTGTTACTCCTGTTAAAATGCTTCGGGTAAGTAGTGTTGTTCCTCACCAAATATTCTTATCAAACTTTTTATTATATGTAAAGGTTACTATTGAATGATAGCCGTAAGCTTCACTCTAATAAACTTCTCTTTTTTTATACAAAATTTTTTTGTAAATTTATATTTATTTTATTATTGTTTAATTTATCCCAACTTCTTCCTGCGGTAGTCATTAAAAATTCTTTCAAACCCAATTGGTTTATGTTCCACTCTTTGTAGAGAAATTTTTTGCCCCAGTAGCTCCCAATTTTCAATGGATTTTAAAAAATTCTTTCCAGTTCGGCAAGTTGATTATTTAAGCTATAATATATATATATATATATATATATATATATATATTTACTTTACACACGTGCTCGTGGCTTCTTCCACGCGGTAAAGGGATTGGCGCCTCCTGAAGTATGCAACAAGCTGGGTACCTTAGGGAAAGTGGATTGAATTTCTTTATAAAAAACAACTAATTATACTTCTGAAGCTGGCGTTTTTATATTAAGTTTTTTATAAAAGCACGTCGTGCTTTCATTTTTTGAGTGATAAAAGTATTACACTTTTTGATGTCCGACTGGAATTTTTTTAAAATCGTAAGTAGACTTACACGTAGGGTTCCCTGTCTTGGAATCCAGGGAAGACGACTTTGATGAAGACATTTATATTGTTAGGTATATGATAGCCGTACTTTGTACACAGGTTAAAATAGTGACATTTAGTGGATTAAAAAAACGTGACCGAAGATTTCCAAAAACTGGAAAAGTTTAATTCGCAACCCGGCGAGGAGGAAATCTCGCAAATCCGAGCCTTTTTATTATCTTTGTAAGGAATTGCTGCCTATAGGGGCCTATTTTGAAACCTCTGCTGTTGACGGTAATGCATAGCAGCGGTTATTTTCTAGCTCTTCTCCAACGACCTTTCCTTTAAAAAAAGTTTATATTTTAATTTTACCCGACGATTCCTTTAATAACTTACCTGTGTATAAAAATTGGCTTAACAGCATTTTGCTATTTAAATAATCTCCAAGCTGTTACACGTTTTTTTTTTATCATAAGAAAGCTTTATTACTTTTTAAGACTACCTCTTACGAACCTGAAAATAAGTCAAGCTGCAAAAATAGCTTTTTATAACGACTATAATCTCATCGCTTGCGACCGCTACAGCAAAGTCTGCGCCATTTAGCATTCCCAAAGCTGACCAAGGTTTAAGTACCTACCAAGTTGACCGCCTTTTTCTGAAATAAACTTTCCGCCAAATACTTTGTTGGGAAGCTTTACAATTTCAGCGAAGTGATTACTTTTACGATATTTTACCTTGCCTATGGGCTTCCACTTGGATTCTGTTTTTTTTATTTAACACGCGGAGGTTAAATAATAAAATTTTAGTTTGCATACCACTGAGTAAGGAATAACGCAAGCACATTTTTAAAACTGCCTGTGGAGGAGGGGACTCATTTTCCTCCATCTATTAGTTAAGAAAGTTATTATTTTTTTATAAAATGACAGTATTTCATGACTGCAGTCAGCAAGCAAAATACTTGTTTTAATAAGCACTGTGACTGTTTTATAAACAGCAAGTTGGCTATGTATTTAAAACCTTACAAAAGTTGTTATATAATCTAATTATTTTCGTGAAACGTTTCAATTGAGAGGCCTTAGATATCGAATAAGCGTCCTGTAACAATTTTAATCTATTTTGATGTTACCTTGGCTATGACATATATACAGTATGAACTCTTGTCGAGACCACAAAGAACATTAGATCCACATTTTGAAATTATTTCATTAGCAGTTTTATATATATTGCCGAAATGTTCGCTGTTGTTCAAAAAAATGGTAGCCCAGTACAAGTTATTCCAATTCACTGTAGCTTTGTAAACGCTATTTGTTATATTTCAGCTGAAGATATTGAGAAAAAGCTATTACAAATACCTTTGGTTAACACTAATCATTAGGATCAGAATTTAAAAATATAACTTTTTTTATCATGCATCAAATTATTAAGCAAATAACTAAAATTAGTCTATGACAACCAATCGTTAAGTATTTATGAACACATTTGTTTCACAAAAATTATAGAAACTGTTCATTTATGCATTCCCATAAGGACTCCCGCCTAAATATTAAATTAGCCGTTCACCAAAAGAAACGGTGTTTCCAACACTTTTGCGTGACCCCGTAAAAGGTCTCAAGAATGATGTTAATTTCTTTAGTAGTATAAAAAAAACCTGGAAAAGTTTATCTACTCTTTTGTAAGGAAAACTGCATATGCGTAAGGGTGACCTTCGCGCGTACAACCTTAACGTTCACTGCCTCGATATTAGTAAAACAAGCAGGAACTAGCAGGAAATGTATATTTGATGAACAAATATATGTGTATTATGTAAACTTTGTAACAAGCTTACCTTAATACAAACGCTCGGGTAGCAGTTTAAGAGAGTAGAATTTAGTAGGTGTCTTCGAGTTTTAAATATTTGAAGCACATGTGAAGAGTAAAAAACTTGAAGCGTGTTTAGTAAGAATTCCTTGACTGAAAAATAAGCCTAACTATGTTTTAAGTTAAAATTTAAAAGGTTTTTAAAAAAATTATAGACAATCTATAACTATTTTTACCTTATTGTATTTTTTTTTTGGCTTGGTAGATTATTTCGGTCAAAAAAAGGCCATTTGGTAGGCCTTATGGGCCTAGGTTTAGCCGTAGCTGACATCTCCCAATACTACAAGCTGGTCAGTTTTACGTCTAATAAAGAACTCTCCCTACATTAAATATAACAAATCCTAACTATACTTTTTGCTGACGCAAAGTTTTGCAAAGTAATCCTGCAGTACTCTATTTAACAACAATATATGTCCTATATGTAGCTCATGTACTTATCTAAAAGATAACGCACTCAAGTGTTTAAATTTAGATACCTTATTTGGTTGTAGCAAATAGCAGCAGTTACTTCCTTTTCTTCTTTTGGAGGTGTATGAGTTTAACGTCTTCTTTTCGGACAAAGTGGATATTGCTATATTCTTTTAACTTAAACGCTACCTTTATGTATTTGTAGTTTTGTTGTTCTTAAATATTGTTCTATAATCTAATCTCCTTAAATAATCTTAATATTTTCGTTTGCTTTTTTTGCTATTTAGCTCCACGTTGGTGGCCACCTGGCTCAATGGTATTTTCTTTAACCTTTACATTAACTTAAAAGTTTTGTTATTTTAATAATATATATTCGCGTTATATATCTTCGTGAATACAGTAACCGACTTGATAATAGCTTAAAAAAGTCTTATAGTTGCATTAGCTTTTAACCTTATTTATAAGTTTTAAAATGGCATAAAAATAATTAAGGTCCTAATTTCCTAAGTCGAAAATAACAACTTTAAAAATTTAATATTATAGTTATTCGTTAATGGCTTTAGTCTTAATATAAGTCCATTAAAAATAACGTAACTTTATTTAAAAAAAACTAATAAAATAGCTTTGTATCGTTTACTTTGCGAAGAGACAAGTTGTACTAAAGTAAACTAAACAATGGGATATAATTTTAATATTACTAGATAATATTATATATATTACTTATTATATACTATATTTATTCTTTACTATTTTTCAGAGATAAAAAATATTTTAATTTCTAGTTACTATAATATATTGTTTATTATTACTATCATTTTGCTTCTAAAAAGGTCACTTTATCCTTCAAGATTTATTTATTTAGTAAGAAAAATATAAAAATGTTTATAAAAGAATAAAAAGTAACTCAATTAATACTTTTAATTAACCTCCCAACAGTGCACATCCTCCTGGGGCCATTAAAAGTGTTATTTCGACTATGGCTTTCAGTAGGATGCCATCTTTCTTATATCGCTCTCGCTAAAAGCTCGTCTCGTGAAGAAAGACCCTTGACTGAGTTTTTGATGGGATATGTATGGGTTAAGGCGGTGACTACACCCGAAAGTATATATGCCGTCAAGCACGAGTCTCCTGGTATAACAAACTATTATATCTGCAGCCTTTAGAAACTTAAACTTAAATAATATAAAATTAATGAAGCTATACTCTCAGTCGTGTAAGTTAGCCATTAGAAAAATTACTGTTTGAAGTGGAGATCAAAATTAAAAAGCGTGATTGTAATAACACAGAAAGAAGGTGGCATAACTAGTTTAAACATTGCTTTAAAAGTAATCTTGCGTTTAAGTTATGCTCAATAATGCATTAGTACTATTTATTTTTGTTTACTAAAGTAAAACTTTTTTCAAAGTGATACAACCCACTTACCACCATTTAAACTAGTAGCCTTTAACTGGATAGTATCCTCGCTTTGATCAACCCCATGGCGGGCTTGAACGTAATCAGTAAAAAAAGCCAATGGTTCAGCGTTGCAGCATCCATGCCATCTGGAGTCCTTAAGATATTAGCCTAAAGGGTTCTGCGTAGCTTTATCATGCGAAAGGACGAAAGTAACAGCTCTATGACAGCTATTACTTCCCTTATCAGCAGCTGCTTACGCGGAAAAAGTTAGGAATAGTTGCTTATAGGAATGGTAAAAAGGTGCTTATAGCTTACGTACTTTAGCGAGAAGGTGTGGAATGTAAGTGACTTGAAATTTTTCTAAATAAAATTAATGTCTGTATCTAAAAATAAGACTAAGACGCGCCAGCGGAGCATAAGTGGAGAAAGAAAAAGAGGAGCGAGTGTACTGCTTTTCAAAGCCCCAACGAATAAAGCAAGGTATTATACAATATAAATAATGGCAAAAGGAACAATTTGATTACAAATATGCAGAAAGACTTTGGGGAAATAATGCTTTGCTTTTTATAAGCGAGCGCACAGACATGAAGCATACAGTAAGTTTTAGGAAATCATTCAAATGTAATAAGCTCACAAAAATAAATTGTATGGGCAAAAGGACATACTATTTACGCTAATATAGGAACTCAAACTAAGGAAAACTAAGTAAAATAAGACGCATTGACTTTCTTCATAATTGTTGATTTCACAGGTTGTAAATCCTCGAGAACTTGTATTTTATAGGCAGCAAGGTAATATAATGTAGATATAAAGTATATTATAGACAATAAAGCGAGATAATACAAGAAAGTCGAAGTACTAGAAAGCATTATAAAATTATCTGATTATTATAGGCTCCCAGTCGCCCTAAACCCAACTGCTCAACAAACAAAGAAAAAGAAAAAAAAAACGGCGGGGGGTGCGCGAGTCAACTTATATAACCACTTGTGCACTTTCCTTGAACACTACCCCTATGCTCACAGTTAAAGAGTTATAAAATTCTCCATATTTTGACATAACCCACCACAGTTAAACCCCAAAATTCACGCGAGTAAGGAAAAAAATGAAAAATAACAAAGACCAATGATTGTCCCCTGTTATACTCAAAGGTCTGAAAAATGCTTTTTGTGGTTTAAATCTTTGAATCTTTCAAATCTAGCCAATTAAAAGTCACCGTTTCTGATACCTTTTGTAAGGAACTAAGTGTCGGCAAGATCTACTACGGCTTAAGGTTAAAAAATAAATCTTTTAAGGTAGCAGACTTTTTATAGGTTTTAGTGGTCTAGAATTAGAGATTCTCTCTTAATTCTTTTGCACAAAGAATACAGCGTAGAAGTTTCTTTTTGACTTCGCGTGGAACATAAACGGATTTAAAAAAAATAGCACTTTCCACAGAAATATAGGAATTTTCAGAATCATTATAATTATCTGAAAGGATATTCTTTAGTTTTTCTAAAACAGCTTTAACGACGCGGTCATTTAAAAAAGGTTTTTGATACTTACTAAGGTAACGTCTTTATTAGGAATCTTGGTGAAAACCCAAAAATCCTCTTGATGCGTACACAGGTTCTTATACCTGCGGCTCACGCCAGCAGTTAGTCCTTTTAATGTAATAAGAGGATGAGCACTGTTGCAGGTTGTGTAAAGATAGAAAACAAAGTTTCTTTTCATGGATTCTGCAAATAATTTTAGTCGTTTCCTTTTTTAGAAACAAATCTGAAAAGTTTGTTTTTATCTGAAGCCAGTTTAATCTAGTACATATGGACCAAAAAATCTTTTGATTGGACAATTGGGTTTTTTACCATAGGAGCAAAAGTATCGCCTATATATCTTTTGTAACATTTGGTATATATGGTGCAAACATGAATTTCATGAATTTCATGGTAAGCTAAATAAAGTGTGACTGGAAGTGGAGCAGCGGGATACTCATAAGTATCCCGTTTGATTGATATACTATATTGCTAAAGGTAAAAAAATTATTCCACTATATAGTATGGGAAAAGAAATAATTTATCGTTGGCATGGTCTCAGTGAAGTACTCTATCGTATAATAAAGTTCTTACAAGCATGCTAGTGTATATAGTTTCAATGTCTAGGGGACAAATAATATCGTTCTCATCTAGAACAAGGCTGTCTAGCATAATTTTTTTAGGCATTCTGAATTTTTAATAAAGGAGGGAACCATTTTTATTAGACCAGTTTAAAGTAGCTAATTAGCAAGGCCTGTCATAGGATTGCTACAAAATACCACAATAGGTCTCAGTGCAGATGTTCTCTCCAGAACATGTTTATGTTTTTTGGCCTGCCATAAAAAAAGCTAAGTGTTGTGTTCTTAAGACCATTAAGGATGATTCGAGAGAACTTAAGACATTCTCGATCATAGGCAGAAAACTTCCTAAGCACTCAAGAACAGACATGCTTAACTTTTGACTTTAGGTAGTCTCGTAGCGAAACTCTGTCCCTACCCGTTTTCTTATAAAATGAAGAGTTTAAGGGGTTCATATCCCATGAGTTATACTGTTCCTTAATCATAACTGCAGGGCCTTGATTTTGTATGTAATTAAGAATATTTGAGGTGACTGACCTTTTCGATATCTTCAGTAATAGTTGATGAAAAATTACTTCGAAAGGGTCACTTTCTTTTTAAAGTGTATGTATCATATAGTTATATGCGATTATAAAAGGAAGGATAAGCTTCATAATTTAATTTAGGAGGAAGTAATTCTAATTACGTATATACACTTTTAACTCTTCCTCAGTGAGACTATTTTTGACCCCAAATTTATTGTCTAAAGAGGTCTAGTATTAAGATAAAACTCCATTTTATTATTATATGAAAATTTGGAATTTAAACAAAATATAGGGCCGAGAACGATAACCATTCCGATATTTGGCGGGGGATAGGTCCCTATAGGTTTAAGTTATGGAAAGGTTAGATTCTCTGCTTGTTTATCAGAGATATCGATAGGTAAGTTTTTAAAAAGTGCGATTAATTTTTTCCACTTAACATCTTTATCTTTAGTCTCTTTAGAGTTACTAGTTAACAACGAGAGATTTTTAGGAATATAAGTGGGCAGGGGTTAATGTTAGTTTTAGTTCTAAAGGAAGAGTAATAGTTAGGTATAGTAATATCATTGCTCTCCATATTGTCTCTAATTTGTTGGTCATGACCCCTTGTGTTGGCCTCTATATGGCCATTCCTGTGCCTTGAGAGAAATCTACATTATTATTGATATGTAGAGGACCTACCTTCTCATAACGTTGAAGAAACCGAATTTCAGCAGAGCTTGGTATAATAGTAGGAGCGAACTTTCTTTTCTTCACCAGGCTGCTACTCGCATTTTCTCTAGGCCCCAAAGAAGCTTTTGGAATAGACACCACTGTATCCGTGGAGGATGTGGAGTTAAGTACTATATATCTATATAGAAGCAAAGAAACGTTTTTTACGTGAAACTAATATTTACTAAAACAAAGAGATATATTATGCAAATAGTTGATATATTAACGGGATTACCTAAAGCTATATAGAAAACTTTCAGTACATGCTTTAAGGAAATATTATATCGTCTTAACTATATTTATATCTTTTCAAACTTATTACAACTTAAACAAACAGTAGCAAAGTATAGATTTACCATACCATGAGGAAGGGTGCTGAATTGCCATTAAATAAAATTAACAAGACGTAGAAGTTAAAAATGAGGCAAATGACTTCGTAGCTCTAACATTATAATTCCCTTATATGAAAAAACCTAAACACTTTTACTAAGATCCCCCTTAATATGTTAATAATGTAAATTTAATTTCGAGAACGTGTATACTATAAATAATAAGTAGCGAAAGAGACCTGCCAATACCTAATGACACCAATAAATTGTGTCTTGAACTGTGCATGCCTTTTAACAATGTGATGCTCTTTATATATATAACCCTCACGGGCGTATAAACCAATAACAAAATAAATTTAGCAGCACGTGAAATGCACATTTTAAAAATATAAAAATCTGGAAGTTCCTACATTTTTAGTTCGCTTTACATTCAGTTAAAAGTTTAGTTTTTTTTTTATTATGGGTTTTGCTTTTGGATAGGCCTTAACTAGTTATTATTATTATATTTAATAATCAGTGTAAAAGGTTATTAAGAAAAGAAAAAACTTTTTTTTGGTTGTTGAAAGTTTTATTATTTTATTTTAAATATAAATTTTTTTTTTAGATTTTTTAATGTTGCGCAAGTTAGCTTTGCGTTCTCCAACGTGTTTAAGAGCGTCTGTATTTCAAAGACATTATGCGGATGCTGTTAAAGGAGCAGTAATAGGTATATGTACTTATTTAAACTCATTTTATTTATGAAATATTAATATTTTCTATGCCAGGTGTGGATTTAGGCACAACCAATTCATGCGTTGCTATAATGGAAGGCAAAACCGCTAAAGTTATTGAGAACTCTGAAGGCTCTCGCACAACTCCTTCTGTCGTTGCCTTCACTGCAGACGGTAACTAAATAAAAATTGTGATATTTTTAAATTAATAGATCTTTAATTAAGGCGAACGACTTGTCGGTCAACCTGCTAAACGCCAGACTGTTACGAACCACCTTAATACCGTCTACGCTACCAAGCGTCTTATTGGGCGTAGATTCGACGATAAAGAAACCCAAGAAGATATTAAAATGGTTTCTTACAAAATTGAAAAAGCTCCTAACGGGGATGCTTGGGTTCGTGCTCAGGGCAAGTCCTACTCTCCTGCCCAAATTGGTAGATTTATTTTTATTACTTTTTAATTTAAGAATTTTCTAAAAAATTTATTCTGTAGGTGCCTTTATTCTTCAAAAGATGAAAGAAACTGCTGAAAATTATCTTGGCACTAAAGTTAAGAATGCTGTGATCACCGTCCCCGCCTACTTTAACGACTCCCAGCGGCAAGCCACCAAAGATGCCGGCCAGATCGCCGGTCTGAACGTTTTAAGGGTCATTAACGAGCCCACCGCCGCTGCACTTGCTTATGGTCAACGTGCTTTTTGCCTTGTTATTAATTTTTTAATTATGATTGGTTTCAGGAATGAACAAAACCGACAAAGATCAGATAATCGCTGTTTATGACCTCGGCGGGGGCACCTTTGACATCTCCGTGCTAGAAATTCAAAAGGGGGTTTTTGAGGTCAAGGCCACCAATGGGGATACTTTTCTCGGCGGCGAGGATTTTGATAAAACCCTCGTGGACCACTTTGTGGCGACCTTTCAGAAAGAGCAGGGTATCGACCTCCGCAAGGACGCATTTGCGTTGCAGCGTCTGCGCGAGGCGGCCGAGAAGGCGAAAGTTGAGTTGTCCTCGTCGTCGCAGACGGAGATCAATCTCCCGTACATCACCGCGGGCGCTTCAGAGCCGAAACACTTTGCTATGAAGCTCACGCGCTCTCAATTGGAAAAACTCACGGCCAAGCTTATCGAGCGCACTAAAGAGCCGTGCCGACGGTGCGTGAAGGATGCCGATATCAAGTTTAGCGATGTCCACGAGGTCATTCTGGTAGGCGGGATGACGCGTATGCCCAAAGTCTCTACCTTTTCTCTGCGGCTGCAGTGTAGAGCTGACCTCTGACGGCCTCTGCTTTCCAGGTAGTCTCCACCGTGCGGGAACTGTTTGGCCGCGAGCCGTGCAAGGGGGTCAATCCGGATGAGGCTGTCGCCATTGGTGCGGCCATTCAGGGCGGCGTTTTGGCTGGTGCGTGCATTTTGTGTAGGCTTTAATAGTGGTTGCCCGTACGCTTTTGTAGGGGACGTCAGTGATGTGCTTCTCTTGGACGTCACGCCGCTGTCGCTTGGCATTGAAACTTATGGAGGCGTCTTCACTCGCCTAATAAACCGCAATACGACTATTCCTACTAAAAAGTCGCAGGTTTTTTCTACCGCTCAGGACGGCCAGACACAAGTTGAGATCAAGGTCTTTCAAGGTCAGCAACAATTCTTGCGTCACGAGGTTGTGCTTATTAGTTATGGTAGGCGAGCGTGAAATTGCGGAGCGCAATCAACTTCTCGGGCAGTTCAGCCTTTCCGGCTTTCCCCCGGCTCCACGTGGTGTACCCCAGATCGAAGTCACCTTTGATATCGATGCAAATGGTAGCGGCCGTTGGGCTACTGCGGCTCAACGCCGGCTCTGATCCCTTTATTCCATCCGCAGGCATCGTTAATGTCCACGCGCGAGACAAAGGGACCAACAAGGAGGCCAATATTGTCATCCAGTCGTCCTCTGGTCTTTCCAAAGAGGAGATAGAGAAGATGATTAGAGACGCCGAGCAATACGCCGCGGAGGACAGTAGGCGCAAGGAGACTATCGAGGCCAGGAATGCCGCCGAGTCGAGAATCAACACTGTCGAGACTACCCTCGAGGAGTACAAGGTAGCCCCCGCTCCCATCCACGCGGTAGCAAGCGCTGCTTGACTCCTGGTGAAGTCCCAGGTGACCGGGGAGGACCGCTCTAAAATCGAAGAAGAGGTGCGCAAGCTGAAGGACGTGGTTGCGAAGGAGCAAGTGGAGTTGGAGGAACTTAAAGACGCCACTGCCGCCTTCGACAAGGCGACATCCGAACTGTACCAGATCATCTCGAAGAAGGTGACTTTGGCTCTGTAAATTCCACACTCTTTCCTTGCATCGTCTCATATCCTCGCGCGGAAAATTTAGAACCAGCAGCAGTCTGCCACTGATGAGAAAAAGGACGATCCCCCGAACGCCGAGTTTAAAGATGCTGAAGAAAAAAGCAAATAAGCGCCTTTTACTTAATGGATTTTTTTTTAACTAAATAAATAAAAGTTTTTTATAATTGGTATTTTATTACAGTTAAATTTTAAGGCAGAGCAATTTTTATTAATTACTATTGGTGGTTTCAAGCTTACAGACAACCTCTCCCAATCTGGAAAAGCAAGTTTTACACCAAAAAAACCGAAGAATTAGCTATTGACTTGTTCTTATAATAAATCGATTTTATTTGGTGGCAAAAAATGGTGGCCCGCTTTTTTTGTTCAGTAAATAAAATTTTTATAGATCCAGCAGAAATTATATTTCTTTTGGCGTATTATAATTTTTTGCAAAAAGTCAATTTATCTATATTTGCTGCATATTGAATTTTGGTTTCTCCTTTGCCACTTCGGCGTCTCTTAAAGATATTTTTATTTTTAATAAGCCGCAGATTATACAATGGATTCAAAATTCTCTTTGAACTTATTCTAATTGAGCGGTACACTAATCGTTGTAATAAAAGTATTTGCAGGAATTTTTAATCTTTTGGTTTTTCTATAAGGAGAGGTTTGCATATAATATCCGTTATTTATAAATTCTTTTAACAAATGTATACTTAATTAAAATTATTAAAAAAGTGTAAAGAAGCAAGTCAGAGCGGAGCAAACAATAACGCTACAATTTTGCACGTTAAAAATGGCAATAGCGGAATAGAAAAAGCTTAACAGCTTTTTATAAAAAGTTTTTTTCCATTTTTGCAAATGTGTTACCGTTTTACGTTAAAGAGGGGCAACCGAATATATATTATTAACATTTCTTTAAAAATCAGCTTTCATATAGCCAAGTAAAACCATTATATATTTATAAAGCCTAGAGAGGCTTTCGTACTTTTTTTTATTGTTTTGCAATATAGAAAAGAGTTCTTTGTTTTTTAGTACACTATCTCTGGCTTTATAGCGCAATATATTAACTTGAACTATTATAAAATTGTGATTGTATACTGTGTTTACTTCTAATTTAGACAAAGTTAACTATGAAACAAACTTGTAATATAGCGAAAGCCGTCCTGAAGTTTACTGAAGATCAAATTTGTTTAATAGAAAAGGAATTATATCAAGGCCATATATTATTTTTAAACAACGAATTAGTACCTAAAAAGTACGTTTAAAACAAAATATTATTAATAAATCAACTTATAAGCGCCGGGAAGATAAATATTGAAATAACTTACGAACTTTAATAGAAACCGCCCAAGTTAAAATGATAACATATTGGCTAAGCAGGTTGCAAATCTTTTATAAGTTTTTTTGCTGTGCAAATTGCAAGAAATTACCAACGTTTAGTATCCTTATTACCTTCATTCTCTTGCATGCTTTTCTCATTTTTTTATGAGTTTAACTTCGTAGTCGATGAGGGTACATTACTAACAAATGGTTACAGAATTTTTTTTAACCAAACTTTGTGACATTTATCATTTTTGTTTATTAGCCAGGTCAAGTTATTTTAAAGTTACTTACATTCAAACCAATCTATCTAATTTTTTCCTAAAAGTTTTACTTAAACATTAGCGAAAAAGCTAACCACTAACACAATAAACCGACCTTACCCTCGAACTTTATATATCTTTCAACTTTTCAATTATTGTAACAAAACCTACCTAATCCTTAAATATATGATATGCGGAGGTAAATATATGTATAATAAAAATTATGCAGTGAAAAAAAACCTGCCTTTAACGGCCGTTAGACACTTAGGTGCGTTTAAAGAATTTACAGTACTTCCCGAGTAAGATAAAACCATCTTTTTAAAATTTATTTAAATATCAAGCCTTCGCTGTAACGATACTTTTCTTCGAATGACGCTTATGTCGTGAGAGAAATCCTCTTATTATCCTTTTGGGTCGAAGGATCTTGGATATAAGGCACACTCAAGGTTTCAACATTGCTGTCGACACCTTTATTTCCATTGACGCTGCTAGCGTTAGGTTCTTTATTGCATCTTCTTTCCCTCTCTAAGCCCTTAACTTCTGTTTTCTCCTCAATATTGAGGGGTTGACCAACTCCATTAGGATTTAAATTCGTTGAGTCCGCAAAACTTCTTGTAGAACTACTTTGTTCTTGTTGATTTAAATTATTACTTTCATTTTGAGGATACTCTGGAATATTATTCATAAGAGAATTAGCCTCCTCTTGCCTGTGCTCTGGTGTCCATTCGTTTGAACTGTCATCTGTGGAATAACCTTTCGGTATCTCATCCTCCTGTAGATTAGTAGATGATAGTTCATCTTCATAATCGTCGGAAGGGTAGTCCGTAAGTAGCTTATCATACGGAAAATTGTAAGAGGAGTGCTCGCTTACAGTCTTTTGTGAATTTAGCGAGGGAGGAGTATCGCCTGCAGGATTTTCTGTTGAATAGTATTTTTTTTCTTGATTTAAAGATGATCGGTCTTTTTGAGAATTAGTTAAACTGGCCTCCCCAAATGTCTTTCCTGCACTTCGTGAGGAATATTCATCCCGTTCCATGTTATTTAATTGATCAGTTTGGTCATTTTCAGTTCTAAAATTAGAGGTTTCTTCCTCATCTTCGTTAGTTAGGGTGGTGTCTGCTGTAACTTGCTCTTCTGGCTGCGGTGGTTCAGAAGTATAATCTTCCTCAGGATCTAATTTTTCATTACCTTTTTCAAAGTATTCTCGCAATCTCTTTAGTAAACTGAGAGCTTCAGCACCCCCTTGTTCGGAGTTCGTTAAACTTTCTAATCTTTTTAGAGTGTTAGGATCGTGCAAGAGCTGTGGACCAAGAGAGTTATCATTAGGATCCCCTACATCCTTCATAGGGATGTCAGATATCTTGTCTTGATGTTCCTGGTCAAAAGTGTCATTTGCGAAGGAGGTCGGAACCCCTCTGACGAACGTCGCAAGTAAACACAGGAGCAATACGTATGCATATGCTTTTTTATACAACATTGTATATTAAAAATATGTAATGAGAGTATAGTTTGTTTCAAAACATATTTTAATTTAAATATTAAATTTTAATTGCCATATTAGAATTAAAAATTTTGTGATTTACAAGGATTGCCTTCCATTAGTAGCAGTTTATTGATTACTAATAAGTACTTAAAAAAGAAACAATATTTTTCTGAGGCACGGATACTCCATTTACCTTCTTTAAGAAGAAAAATTTAGGTTAAAAAAAAAAAAACCATCCTATACGGATATATTGACAACAATTCGATGTAATTACTTGATTTACCGCTTGAAAACTTTAACATAATTTATAACCTAATTGCATTGTTCTTCATTGTTCTGAGTGCTAATTTTTAATAATAAAGTTAGTTTTAAAACTCTATAGCATAATTGTGGCACCTGTGTGGTACAGGTCAAGAGGTTGAAGGTTTACTACTTGCTTTCTGGCAACACCCAAGTGGTTATGTCGGGACAAACGAATACCTTCCAGGCCCCGAGACAAATACTTTGCATTTTTATTGAAGACTAGCCTATTAATTATTTACGGAAACACTACGCAATATCTACAGTTCATCTTCCATATCTAATTTAACAGCAGGAAATAGGTAGGTTTCTCATACTCGCACTCAAGCGAAGAAAATAATTCACAACTTTATACCCCTTCCATGGATAAAAATATAGTTTACATTCGTTATCTTTACAATCATTTTCCTTTCTGTTAAAATTTATGAGTAAAATTTGTTTAAACCTAATTATTATCTACAAAAATTTAAAAAAATGAATTAGTGACGAAGCACTCAGGTCGTATAAACTTTACGGTTTGCTCACCTTTTTTATTCTACTGGTCAATTAATTTTGTTTTTACCTATTTTTTTTTAAAATATATAATTTATGCTATAACTAGTAAGGATCGCCAAATAAAATTACATATTAATATATATGATATGTTCTTCTTATTATAACGCAAAAGTACACTTCTTCAACTACTCAGTCTGTTAAGCATTTTGTTCTTCATGCCCACAAGTAAACCCTTTGAGAGCAAAAGATGGATAAAATATAAGTGAAGAAGAAGTAAAATTGATAAGAGCTTCAATTAAGAATAGAGATAAGACACAATTAAAAATAGCTGTCCACAGTCGAGAATAGTACTTATAGCTATTAACTAGAGATAGGAATATAACCTAGGAACTAAAAACAAAAGGAAAAAAGAACTTTAAAAAGAACCGAAAAGGGGGGTCACTACTATGATCTAGCCACTATCATTTTTTTCATTGTATAATGTTAAATGCGACCAATGCATTTTTACGTTATCTTTACTTCAACATCCAATTTCTAAGTTCTTTTTTTATGTTACGGACTTTTTTTTTTCTTGAGTTCTATTTCCGTCTGTGAAAAGCTTGGATATAGTTGTCCATTAGCTTCACTCTTGCTT